TTCCCAAAGCTTTCAAAGATCTTTTGATAGTACACCTTCCGACAGCTTTAGTGAGAAAGTCGGCTGGGTTCTCATTCGATTTAATATATATTAATTTTAACAGATGAGATTGAACGTGTTCTCGAACAAAGTGCAATCGAATGTTCATGTGCTTTGTTCGAAAGCCGTTCTGAGCCGTTTCACTGTTCGCTAGATCAATTGCTGCTTTGTTATCAACGAAGACTTGAATGTTTGAGGGTGGTTTCTGAACTTGAGTTTCATTAACTAAGCTAGTAATCCATACCATTTCTCTGCTTAAGTCGGATAGTGATTTATACTTCGCTTCCGCAGATGATAATGAGACGGTATCCTGTTTATTCGACTTCCAAGAAAGTAAATGATGTCCAGCCATAGCAACATAGCCTGTCACTGATCGTCGAGTGATCAAACAGTTCCCCCAATCCGCGTCTACGTAAGCCTTCAAAGAAGAGTTTTAGCATAAGAAATATCCGGTCGAGTTAATATACTAAGATAATTAAGTGATCCTACTATTGATCGATAATTGAAATTAAGTTTCTTTAAAGCTTCTTCATCTTCTTGTGTTGCTTTATCAAACTGAATTCGCGGATTAAGAGGACATGATGCTGGATAAGCGTGTTGCAAATTGAATTGAACCAGTTTTCTTTCAATATATTGTAACTGATTTATCTTGATCGATCCGTTTTCTCTCGTGATGTTCATACCGAGAAGAAATTCCGCGTCTCCTAAGTACTTGATAGCGAATTCTTTTTCGATTTCTTGTTTAAATACCAAAGGATCGGAACTTATGATGACAAGATCGTCAACATGAGCATAAATCCAGGTCATCGGTCTGCCGGGTTGTTGAGTTCTCCAGAAAACACAAGGGTCGGATACAGAGATGTTAAAATCAATCGATTTTAAGAAATTTGACAATCTCTTGTACCATACAAGTGGAGCTTGTCGAAGACCATAAACCGCTCTACGCAATTCGAAGACTGTGTCTGACTTTCCGACATAACCTGGTGGTGGAAGAACCGTAACCTTGTCTTCCAAAGGGCACGTCAGAAACGCACTTCGAACGTCCAATTGATGAACCTTTAGGTCATTATTTACGGCGAAAGAGATAAGTAAGCGTAAAGAACATGGTTTTCCTGTCGGTGCGTATTTTGCGAAGTAATCTAGTCCAAAAGATTGTCGAAATCCCTGAACGCAAATACGAGCTTTGAATTCAGTTACTTCATTATTCGGTCCTAGTTTTTTACGAGAAGCCCAAGTCAAAGGGATAGGTGAATCTTCTTCTTTTCTTCCTCGAACAATCCATGCCTTATGAACATCCATGTTCTGATATTCCTTTTTCTCCGCCTTCTTCCATTCCTCAATTTCCTCCCCTTTCATGGCTTGATGATGCGTCTTCGGTGCCAGAGAGATTAATGCCGTTCGTCTTGAATAGTTGAGAATGTTTGACTCATCAATGTTACTTGAAATAAGCTTATTTGAGTCTTGATGAGCATCAACATCGAGCTGCTTTTCTGAGATTATTTCTTCTTCAAGTAATTCTTGGGAACGATCATTTGCCTCCTCTTCTGTCGGCAAAGAATCTTCTTCGAATGGCAACGATGGAACCTTCTCAAAAATCGGAAGATTATTTGAAGCATTGAGATTGTTGATACTTTTTCTTAAAGCCGGACAAGTTGGAAAGACATTTTCTTCAAAATACGCATGTTTGACATTAATAATTTGAAGATTATCAAGTCGAACTATTTTGTAGGTTGAATAATCATTTGCGTATCCGATTAATACACCTTCCCAAGCCAAAGAGTCAAACTTGCGTTCATGATGAACTTCTGGCTTTAGAGACCAAACTTTACAGCCGAATGGACGAAAAATATTGATATTCGGTTTCTTCTTAAACAAAAGTTCAATTGGCGACGTTCGGCTTTTTGAAAGAGACGGTAAGCAATTTGTAATTGCACAGGAAGTTTTCACTGCTTCTGCCCACCATTCCGACGCTAGATTTGAATGCAGAAGAATACATCGTGTCATACTCAATATCGTTCGATTTGCACGTTCAGCTATTCCGTTTTGTTGAGGTGTGTACGGAGGCGAAACATTATGTTGTATACCTGCTGATTCGAGTAGGTCAGAGAGAATCTTGTTGCAGAATTCCCCTCCTCCATCCGTTATGAGTTTCTTCATGCGATTCCCTGTTTGATTCTCGAAAAAGATTCTAAATTTATTTATAGCTTCCGAAGCATCGCTTTTTTCTTTTAGGATCGTAATATTGATATAACCAGTATGTTGATCGACTAGCGTCAAGAAATAACGAGCTCCGCCATTTGAAGAAGGAGTTATAGGTCCGACCAGATCACCATGAACAACCTCCAAAGATGCTGAAGTTGAATCGAAGTGATGATTAAAACTTTTTCGAGTCATCTTTCCTTTCATACAGGCATCGCAACAGTGTTCTTTTGTCAGACTTTCTTCAGAAGGTATAACAATCTTCAGGCGATCTTTACTAGCATGTCCAAGGCGGTTATGCCACTTCGTGAATCCAGTGGGCTCACTTGCGTTACTAATCATCGCTATAGTTTGCTGTTTAACTGGAGAAACGTCACCGTTTATTTCGAAGAGTTGATTAGAAAGATCAAGCGAGAATAATTTTTCTTGATTATTTGAAATAACATTGAAAAATCTTCCTGCTCGTTCGATTGAAATATTGTTATCGATGAGTTGAGATAAAGACACCAGATTTCGTGTAAGGTTAGGAACGAAAAGTGAATTTTTGAGTGTAATGATTTTGTCATCGGCGAGCTGAATTAATGCCGTTCCTTTACGAGTAGCAACTAGTTCTTCTCTTGATTTTCCATCACCAGTAATTATAAAAATAAAGACCGGTTCGCTATCAACAAAGAAATTCAAGGAATTGAACATGTGATTACTTGCTCCGGAGTCGAGTATAGCGCCAAGTTTGACTGTTGGACAAGTTTTCACGATGCTGCAATAACTAAATGCAGGAACTGCGTTCTCATTATTATCATTGTTACTTGAGGATTGCGTCTGCGTCTCGTGTAAACGGGAAGATTGAGTAACATTGGCTTTAGCGGATCGATAATTGGACTGAAATCGCTTTGGTTTCTTGTGTGGATTATCGTACCAGCAATTTTTCTGACTATGTTTCTCCTTCGGATCATGACCTTTCTCGCAAGGATGTTGGTAAGGCCTTTTTTCTTGAGAATTCATGGGTAGCGCAGAAGATGAAGCAATCGATGACTTATCAGGTTTCATGACTTGTTCGTGAACGGCTAGAGTTCTTAGTCGCTCGAGCAAACGAAACGGATCAGAAACCAAATCCTCATCAAGCATTAAGCCTTCCATAAGATCTTGTTTAATAGTTGTAACTCGGCTAATAATGCAGACAGCGAAAACATCTTGCGTGACGTCATATCCAATCGTTTTGAATTCTCCAAGACATTCCAAACAGCGATCGACGTAAGAAATTAGACCTCGATCACAACGAATAGTGTCCCAGGTGCGCCAGACTTTACACAAAGAGTAAATGGTTTTTGAAGCGTATTTCTTCTTTAAGGCCGTCCAAATGCTATAAGGGGTAATATTTGAGGATAATTTGAATACTGAATTATAGATTGAATCATCGATAACGGAACTGAGATGAAACAATGCGCAGGAATGTTTGGCGGCGATAAGATTCGTTGGAGGAGATGGTTGCTCTTGAAGACAAACATCGATAAGTTGACGAGAATCAAGAAAAAGCTTCATTTTCGATTCCCAGATGGAGTAATTATCGCCTGTCAACTTTGGAATCGACGAAATTCCTTTATCGTCCATCGCGTCTTTACGGGAAAAAGACTCCATTATAGAATTAATCAGATTCAATTCTGCCTTTCGAAAAACTGTCTAAATATTGAGACGAGGTTGCGGTTGAGAGTTCCCCGAGACTGTAAATCTGAAAGAATTTAAAACTGAAGATTTTATTTCTTTGTAAGTATTCTATTATAATAATAAGCTATGAATACATTTCGGATAAGAAAATTTAAAGAAATAAAAATAATACCTGAAGGCAGAATGAAATCTGCTAATTCAACTAATAACAATGATAGATAGCGATAAAGATGATTTTAACTGATCTAACTGGGCTATAATAAGTAAGAGATTTCTGTATCAATATACTATGAATTAGCGATCATTCCAATCCTCTTCAAGTTATTTATCAAAAGTAAAAGAGTACTTTACTTTTATTTTATTAAGAAAACTTATTTCTTAATTAAAGCTGATGGTTGTTGTTTGAAGGATGAATCGACTATTGTTCATCAACAACAAAATCAGTTACTCTCTTTTCCTTTTTAAAAGAAAAAGGTTCGCAAGATCTGTAATTCTTGCTTACCGACTATTGAAGGAAAAATCCTATCGATAAGTCTGTTCGAGTTATTTTTGTGCGAGTGTAAACTAAAGAGTTGTTGATGATAATTTGTTGAGAGCGAAGCAAGTAGAATTGTCATTCTCCTTTTGCTTCCTCCCTCAGTCTCTTGTGATCAATGATCGAAACTCACCTAGAGCTCGATGATTGATCACAATCATCATTAAGATTTACACTCCTGACGTCATTGACGTCAACTCTTGATTCGCAAGCAATATGCTTGGTTTGCTCTTGTTCTCCTGTGAAACAGTTTGATTCTGCACATGATCAAGAATTAAGTGATCAGCGCGATACAAATTTGCCTTTCAGGAAGTTTAATCATCAAAATGATAAACTAACCTGATAATCTCCTCTTTCGAGGGCGAAGACAAGGAATAGAATTCCAACACATTTGTATGGATTATGTGGAATGTATGTGTATGGACTGTCTTCACTTTCTCTAAGTCATTTTGCAGTTTTTTTTTCTTTTCCTTTTTTGGGGAGTTTTTTTCACATGACTGCTGTCATCTTTTCATTTTTTTTTTTTGGTTTTTTAATACTTGTTAAGATTTTTTTTTTTTTTTTTAGAACGGTAAAAAGAAGGCCTAGAATAAGAAACAAAAGGGTGATGTCCACATTTTGGTGTATATGTTATAAGTAATGTACCTAGAAGCCCTTTCTCCTTCCAATCATGATGATGAATCCGACACAACTCAAGGGGGGGGGGATGATATGCCAAACCGAATAAGAAAAAAGGAAGAAAGAAATGGTACAGAGGAACAGATAGATGAAATGGCCGAGATGCAACATGTCTCATGAGGCATTCGAGGTGATCTCTTCCGACTCCGAAGGAGGGATCGAGATAGAGAGGAAAGGTGGAGAATCCTTACTGCCACAAGGCTTTAATTGCCTGCCATGAAGAAGATGGACTGGTAGTCGTTCGCTGTCGATTTACAGAGTTCCCGATGTTATGGATGGTATTGTGTTCCTGATGGCTATCCGGGAGCAGTCGGCCGCTGACCACTTGACCCCCAGCTAAGGCATCTTCCGATCTTGAAATTCCGTTTGTTTCTATTTACAATCATCTCTAGTCAGTCTTTTCATTCGCGATATCTACGAAAGCAGAGAAAAAATAGATTTCATAAAAGTGTCAACACACCCTTTCCGATAGGATTGTTCTCCAGCTTTGTAGGGTTGTCCATGTCTTGCAAATTTAGCCCACCAATTTGCCCCATTTCCTCATTGGGCTCCCAAACACTTTTGGCCCCCATAGAAAAGCTTCGAGGTCGAGGCGATTTCGAAAGAACATCTTCCCAACTGCTTGCCTCGGTCTGCTTTTCTTCCCCCGCGCTATAAGTCTGGCTCGCAGTGACTTGGAGCTTTTCTCCGGGCGGCTGATTGCGGAATGGGGCTCAGGCTCTCTCTCGATGGCTTCTTGTGAAGTTACTTCGCGATAAACTTGTTGACTGCCGTCCGGAGAGCGGTTGAGACTGGTACCCGGTGCTGAATTGAGGGAACCAAGAGGCGAGGTTTTATCAAATGGGCTTAGACCTCCTAGCTGCTCTTGCGAGTTGAATCTTCCTACTGGTTCCAAGGGTCTCGGATAGTTGTTAAATGCAGCTTCGGGACTACTGAAGACTTGACCGAAAGTCGATTGCTTGTCAGCAGACTGATGGATGGTCTCTTGAAAAGAGGGGATTGATGGGCGTTGAAACAATGCGGGCGAAGGGTTGGACATTGCTTGAGTGCTATTGGGCGGGTCTTTAGGTAGCTGCACGCCAGCGGCCAGTAAGGCGGCTCTTTGAGCATTCAAAGCCATCATAGCCTGCAAAAAAATAGGTTAGGGTAAGCTTGTTAAAGAAGGAGAAGAAATTCAAGGACTGACTCCAACTGAATCGTTTCCATCTGCAAAGGGGAAACATCTCATGCACACTTTGCGACGTCTCCAATTGACAAATCCACATATACACTGGATCACAAATTATCGAAACAGAAGATGAATCAAAACACAACCTGTGATTCCTTCAAGAATGATTGCAAAAAAAAACGCGTACCATCCAATCACCTGGCTGCGGAATCATCGCGCCGGAGTTGCCCGTATTAACGACTGGTGGTTGCGTTTTGACGCTCTTCCTGACTTCCTCGGGTTGAACTTGCCCAGGAAGAGGAGTGCTGACCGGACCACCAATCCCTGGGACAGCCGGAACGATGACCGGTACAAATGGCGACTTGTTAACTGAAGATGCTGGTGAGTAAGGTACACTAGGATTGGGGGTGTGCGGGTGACCGTTTACGCCAAATCCAATAGGTGTCACAGGTGTCTTGGGAGCCAATTGCGGCATTTGAGAAGGATTACTCGGTGCTGAAGCGATAGATGCTGCACCAAAAGGGCTATGCCTACTAACTGCGCCATGAGGATTGCTGCTGTAAAAGATGGGGCTGCCATAACTGTGATTGATCGGATAGGTAGCCGAGATAGACCTTAAGGGAGAACTCTCGCTAGATGAATGCGCCCGAATTGGAGCGGCTGAGATTGGCTGAGTAGAATTGGAAAACCGTAATTGGTGAAACATGCTCGGAAGGTTCACAGCTTGACCGGCATGGCCGCCATTGGCGGGTTGAGACGGAGCTCCCAAAGGTTTGTTAAAACTCTGCAATCTAGTTTGAAAGTTGTCAATGCTCGATGAGCCCATCAATCTAGCCCTGATCGCCTGTTTCTCACGTTCTTCGTTTGGGTCTTTCACGGAGGCCGAGCTAGCTGCAGTCGATATCACCGACTGCGCCTTGGCAGAAGTTGCTTCACGAGAAGAGACTGACGCATCACTATCTCGTATCGGAGATTGGGAGCTCGTCTCGCGTGCCAAACTGCTTCCTTTCAGTTGACCATCTCCCTCGGGCGCCGAGAAGCGGATAGGCGCTGCTGGGGCTAGAGAAAACGGGACTGATGAAACTGAAGCGGGGTTGATCACGTTCTGAATGAATGGCTTTGATTCGTGAGGGGGTGCTGCCATAACCCATGGCTTGTGTGGTTGTTCGAGTGCAGGTTGATTGGAATTCATGTTGTTGGAGGAAAGTTCTGTGGCCGCTACTCTTCGATTGTTGTATCTTCATACCCGCAAGACGTCACGATCTCATAAGCACACTGATAGGAAAGAAGAAGGAAAAGAACAAGGTTCTCTTAACATAGACTTACCCAAATCCAAAACCTTGTTGAGAAGGCGATTGTGATTTGTAATTCACCGGCGAATAGCTCACTGATCGGTAACCATTATGAGGAGCAAAGGCCATATTACTAGGAGAATGAACAGGCCTCTGGATTTCATAGGCGTGTCGCGGTGGTTCATTGCGAAATGGGGATGACTCCGTGGGGAATCTGAAATCCTTCTGATTGAAGCCCTTCTGCCAGAAAGTCTCATTGGAATTGATGTTGTGTGGCGGAGAAGAGGATTCCACAAACCGTGGCTGAGAACCAGGTTGGTGGGTTCCTTCAGCGGATGTGGCCGGAGGAAGGTACTCCCACTTAAAGTGATGGCGTACGTAGGGTGATCCAGAGGAAGTTCCAGCGGAGACAGGTGTCGAAGGCGTGCAGGGAGCGTAAGGACTATTTGGCGTATCAAAAAGAGGCGAATGACGCGGTTCTTGGGTAGTGGAGGACGTGGAGTGATCGATCAAGTGATGGTTCAACGAGGCGATTGTCAGTGGGTGCGATTTTAGATTGGCAACGTCCGCAACTCGTGGGTTGACAGATTTTTGGTTGGCTGAAAGCGGTGCAAGAGCTGGATTTACATTTGCGTGTCCCTTATCCTCCACATCACCTCGCCGACCTGGGATACCATCCTTGATATAAAGCGGATGTTGATGGTTGTTGATCGATCGAGGTGCGCTTCCATTGCGACTGGGGTGACCTGGAGCCTGCCCACCATGTGGGGAGTGCTCCAAGGCAATCTCAATTTCGCTACCACTGTCACTGTCGATCCAACCGCCACTACGCGCAGCTTTCATACTTTGTTTGAGTTTCTCTAATACTTCATCGAAGCTCTGGCTGTTCGGATTGGCGAGATTGAACTCCATGTTTCGAGCGAGCCTAATAAGGTAAGGAAATATCTCTGTGTGCGACGGCTTCACGTGGCAATGCTTCACTGGATAATAATTATGAACATAGAAAAAGCCAATCAGCAATCAGCAATCAGCAAGGTGACGAATATCAAGCCCGAAAAGCAGATCGAGAGCCAAAAAAAAAAAAGAAAGAGAGAGAGAAAGCGTGATTATTAGCGGGTAGCTGACGTACGTGAGAACCAAGGAAACCAACCAAGCGAGAATGAGCTGAGCGGATCTCAAGGTAAGGTCTGCTTGTACGCAGCGAGCATGAAGTTGTTCAAGATCGGTAGACAAGACTGACCGGGCTGCCTTCGATTGTGACCCTCAAAGACAGAAAGAAAGTAAGGATTTGACGGTGGGAGAGAGTCTAAAAGATGAGCAGATGATGAGATGGGGGGGGGGGGCGAGTAGGCGGAGATATGAGGTGCAAGGGAGTTTAAAGATGACAATTGGGCAAGCGGAGGTCTCGGTACAGGATATAGAGGAAGGAGGATAGGCGGATTGCTGCTAATCAACGTTGAGCTTAACAGTCTTTTAAGGATGGATGAGCAGATATATATGGAGAATAAAGAGAAGAAGAAAAAACTACGTCAAAAATTAGGAAGAGAAAGAGAGGAGGCGGAAAGCAAGGAAAGAATAGGGACGGATAGTCTAGTAGAGAGTATATTGAGCTGGTCAAGCTAAGATGATAGTTTTTGAGTCTGTTTTACAGTAGAATAAGATGGAATCAATGGTGAGGATGTTTATATTCTATCGTGACAATTGGATGAGAGCGCTGGATGCAGGAAAGCGAAAGACTGGGATCAGAGTATCTCTTCCTCTGTTTTAATTTTTATTTTTCTAATGACAGTTTCTTTATTTGAACCAGGATGCGGATATCTGATTTTTTTGAAAGTAAAAAAAAATTGATGACGTCAGCTGATGGAGTCTCTTCTGATCATGGAGAGCCCGTACCTCTCTATGCGTGGAGGGAAATAGAGAGAGAGGGGGGAAGAAATAGAAAGATTGCTAACACAGCCCCACAAATCAATGCGCTAGTTTATTGCAGCGGCAGCAGTGACACTGAGGCTATGATGTGATATGAAGGGATGGGGGGTCAAGTTGGCTGGGGCAGGATCAGAGGAGGATGGGGTGATGGGAGAGACGAAAGAGGATGATTATTATGGGTACGTGGGAATGGGAGTGCTGAGGGTGTGAGCGCTTGTGAGGGAGGGCTGTGGATATTAGGGTAGTTCTTGGGTTTTAATTGGTTGGTTGGGTTGGAAGGGTGGGTGTTAATTGGGAGTAGTCGATTTAAGGCCAGAACGAATGAAAAAAAAAAGAAAAGAAACGAGATGGGAAGAATATTTGATAGGAGGATGGATTGAGTTGGAGAGCTTCAGTTGAAGATTCAGAGATGAGAATTCAAACCGAACGTGAAAAAGCAGAGAACCGGAAAAGATTGGAGTGGCAATTGGTTTTATCCGTATTATATTTGGAAAGAATACAAATCATCCAAAGAAAAAAGACCTACCAGAAGAAGCTGTTCGGGAGTCAACACTCTGAAGGTGATCTATTATCGCGGCTACGATCAAACCACAAACCAAACAAGCTAGTTGGGATTGATTGATTGATTGAGCTGGAGGAGGAGGGTTTGAACCAATCATCCAAGCAAGCAACAAGAAGAAGAGGTTCCTATTAGTATTTTTTATAATTGGTCGAGTATGCCTAGGTTTTATCAGGACTCAGAGGAGAGATCAATTTCATAAACAATTCACAAACTTCGATAAGAAGAAAATCAAGTAGCTCTCAAGAGAGCGAAATTCAGTTATTTATGTATCATCAAGGCGAGCATGAACATGAGATCAGAGAGAGAATTCTTTTTTTTTTTAAAAAAAAGAAAAATCCAGGGTTCATCCAAATGAGAAAGTGCGAGGCAAGCAGAGGAGGAAAAAAATCTCAAAGGAAAGAAAAGACACGCGGACAAGGAAAGAAAAAAGACCGATAGAGAGACAAGCAGAGAGAGAAGAAGAGAACCTTACCCAGTTGAATGTCGATCGAAGCTTGAAATAAGACAAAGCACACACTCAGAAGGGCGTGGAGCAGGCGGGATGATGCAGATGGTTGATGGCTGATTACGACGGCTGAGGATGGAGAATTGAATGGAACTTGTTAATTAAGAATAATAATCGAATAAAGACAGATTTTCACTGTTATGTTAAATTTGGGGGTGGGGTTATAACTCTCTGAGTCGAAAAAACAAAACTCGAACTTTCAAATATGCTCGCTGAATGGAGGGGGATGCCTTAACAGAGAAGATAGCGGGTCACTTGGAGAATGGCGGAGAAAGTCTTGTCGCAGGCAGAGAGAGAGAGAGAGAGAGAGAGATGGAGAGAGAGAGAGAGAGAAGAGGGCCAGAGATGGGGGAGAAGATGGAAAGAAGCCGAGGACATGAGCATCAAGAAGAGCCAAGGTTAGAGTCTCGATGGGGCATTACATGGTCGATCAAAAAGATGTCTGAAGACCACAAAAGGACGAAAGAATTAAAACAAGCGTAGATTATTCCAATCAAAGCTCATCCCAATGGAGGATGACGATGGCTGATGACTATCTTCAAAACTACTTACTCTAGGAAGAAGAAGAAAAAAAAAAACTGGCGATGGATGCCGTTAGTATGTATCCTCCTCGAGGCTTGTTCAACCTGAACCGATGAGCTCATTTAAACTGCTTAACCATTCAAATTGGGGACATTACAAAGTGCATTTTCTGATTTTGATGAAGTATTTGAATGAAGATTAAAACAAATTTGAGGATCACAACTTGCTTTCGAAGAACGACGAGCGACAACCCAGAAGCGCAAGCCCGTGGCTGTAAGAGGAATTCCCAGTTTACAATACAACACCTTTCTTTCTTGTTAGAGAGTCTCTTGACCGGCTGGCTACTTAAACTCTAGCAGAACAGAGAGAGAGAGAGAGAGAGAGAGCTTTGGAGATCGTCGACAAGCTAGCCGAAGACAGCCGAGTTGTATGTTCTCTGCAGACTGCGATGCGATATAGATTTTGGGTTGTAGAGGAGTGCTACACTATGCTTGGTCGGATGAAACGAAAGACAGCTTCCTGGTCATCATGGGGAAGTCAAAAAATTCTGTCAACTAAACGAGCAGCGTATGTACTCCGTAGCTGCTCGTCAAGGACTCGTCCAGTCAAATTCTCCATTAGCAGCCCCCGGCAGTCTACAAAACCATTGGCAATCGGTTGGCTTGTTATCCTCGAGACTCGGGCTGCAAGCTGAGCAACTCTGCATCCTTCATTCATTCATCCCCCCCCCCCCCAAAAAAAAAAAAACTAGTCCAAAAACCAACAAGTAAGAGATGGGATGGTCGAGTTTTACAACGTTGTGCTTGAGTGGTTACAATAACATTAACATCATGTCCTCGTCGATTCCCCAATCTGCATTATGTAACGTGAGTTGAGATGCCCATGGACTACAATCTTTGATGGAAGGTTGTGAATGTATTACAAGGTTACGAAAAAGGTATTTGTCCTCTGAAGCTCCGAGCCGACTGACTTCAAGACTTGCTTTTTGTTACTTGGAAATAAGGAACAACTGAGCGATGGTTCATCAGCCTTCAAACGTGTCTTTTCTGCAGGTTTCTATCTTACTCTTGAGTCTTGATGAGTTTCTTCTAAGTTCTTTAGCTTTTTCTTGGTTAAGATGTTTCTGTCTATGCACACGTATTGAAACTGAGGCGCATATGGACGGTTATATTTGTGGAAGAGACAACGTTATATATAGGCATTACTGGTGGTTTCATAAAAAATCGAAAGCCCACTTTTGATTATTTGGATCAAGGCTCATGATCCAGTCAACCATGATGTATAATTCTGTGATTTGATATCATTGGTTGTTTCCCTTACTGTTGATATAGCTCTTGTTCCACGACACGCTACACCACGTGGACAAGGACTAGTATTTGTTAAATCAAGATCCATCCCGAGCATTTTGCCAAGATGATTGGCTACCATGCGGCACAGCACTTATAGCAGAACCCTATGCAATCCTGTCTCCAGCTACAATGCTAAAAAAACACAGGATGAGAAGGCTTTGTCTCATGGGCTTGCTTGATGTCTCCCCACATTCAGGCAATCGCATTCTCCACAGACATGGTCTCCGCTTCAAATCCCCCCCAGTGGCATGATCGACTCTTCGCACGCGTGGGTACTGCCATGTATTTGACTTTACGTGACGCCCTTCCGTAGGTTAGTTAACGGCTCGCTGAATGCCCATTCTTTCCGTAGGGTACAATTATCCACACATGCTGGTCGAACAGTGCTGGAAAATAATGGGCATATATTTATGTATGTATATGATGGTGGACGCAAGTTAGCTCTTTTTTCCATTCCTTCCTCTTTTTCTTCCAAGATACACATGTTTTACACGCGTATCCGCGGCCAAGCAGAGACGATTTATAATCTGAAATAGTCGAGATCAATTGAGAGAATTACGAGAGGGAGGTTTTGCTTCATTATTGACGTATTAATATTCTATCTAAATTTATCTATAAAAGTTACAACTGTTTAGGTGATGTTACTGCTGGGTCCAAGGAGTCATTAATAATATATGAAGTTGAAGTTCACTGGTTTACAATTGTCTTGATCCAATAGTTATGAATTTGCGTTATTATTAAAGTCTCAATGTGGATGGGGTTGGTAATGACAAACTTGAACAAAAAAAGCAAAGTTTGATGTATGCTGGACCGCGTTGAGGATAGATATTTCAGGATTCCTGTGAGATTATCTTCCATCCGTGGTTTTCGGGAAGTGGAGGCCAAGGGCAAGGCTGGTATTCCTCGACCCGGCTGGAAACCCTCAAATCGATTACACCCCCGTCGCACCGCCGGACGAGACAATCGACGTCGACGTCGAAGTCGCCGCCAACGTAGCACTTGAAGCCGTAGTCGGTCACGATTATTGGAAACTCGGTTCCCCATTTGGCCCATTCGGCCAAGCCTTCCATCTGGTCCTCCTTCGTAAATCGGATCAGATGCTTGATGCAGAAACTTATGATGTACTTCTTCCGGCCCGCAACGACCACCTTGTCGAAACTCGTCACTTGTGTGTAGTAAGGGTTGGCCACCTCCTTGATCGTCATGTGCATTCTGAAATCGACCTACGCGGAAATCGTCCCGACTGGCTCTCCTCTCTTCAAAGCGCAGGTGTGTTTACGTGGATGAGGCGTTGACTTGAAGGGATCGGCTTGTTTCGTTCGAAATACCGCTCATATAATATTCTGGCTGTGCAAACAATCGGATTCACAGTAAATAAACAAGACAGCCAAAAATTCATGGAAACAAATCGATCAGACTTCTGACAATAATAAGAATTCAATAATACGGCACGGGGATTGGTAACTCACGAGACGTTATCGAAAAACCTGAAATGATGACTTGGACACTCCTCTTACTTTTTAGCCAGCCGTAATTGAAGATTTGATTTGATCGATCTTTATGCGAAAATGAAGATATAAGTTAGCTATCGGCGATCAGTGTGAAGAGAAACAACCTCTTACTAAAAGTCTTACGTCGAGGCTCAAAACAAAAGCAGAGATACTCGAATTCCTTGGAGCCAGATCAAAACATTGCACTAGATTCATGTTAAATTACACATCGACGCTCGGTTGGCAACAACCACTAATTCACAAATTGACCACTAATACTCGGACTCTTCGCAGCCAAAATGACAGTTAATTAACTATGCGCCAGGGGCTCGACTCGCCAGTGTGTCCATAGCCTGACTCACAGACGACATTGATTCTCTTCTTGAGATTTCGGTGGTTGGTCTCTATCGGATCTCTAGCGACTGAGAGAACCACCACAACACGCAGTTTTGAGATACTCGAAATCGATCGGATGCTCCTGATTCGGCGGTGGTCATTTCAGGGAAGCTTCTTGCTTCGATCGAGATCAGTTGGAATGATACTCCGTAAAGATCAGAACATTTTGCGCATTTCCTCGGATCTTTGTTCTGCATTCAGGGCTATGATCTGGCTATGTTCTGATATCAAGGCACCGATCGTCGCGGAGTCCTTCAGCTTCATCTAAACAGTTCGAGGGAAGAAGCACTGATGGCAAAGTCGTTAAGTTTCGCACTGTTTTCCTGATTCATGTCTTATATCTTCTAGTGTGTCTTAGCTTTTTTTCCCATCCCCTTTTCTTTTCTTCATCGTGATGATATTTTTGTTCTTTGTGTGATCAAAATTATCACTATCCTTATAGAAATACGAATTCAAATAATCAACTCAAAATCGCATCCCTTCAAGAGTTTATCTTGTTATAAGATACACTACCCAAATCATCTTGTAATATCAGCTGTATCTCCTCTTGGATTTACTTATAGCCCTCCGAGAAAAGAGAGTACTAGGCGGGCCCTTACAAAACCTTGCTTTGCGGGGCTGTGCAGATCCCGGTTGCCTGCCGAACCACGCAATCATGGTGCCTTCGCGGGTCGGATGGGTGCGGCCAGCCCCAAACTTCACCAGGAATGTCATGGGACAAATTCACAACTCCTGGGACCGGAAAGTGAGAAGAGAAAAAGTGGTGGGGGTTTCATCCGGCGATTTGGAAGATATACAGTTATGCTAACTTAACGAAGTCCTTTTTCCTGCGAGACGGCGTCCCCTTCTATCTAGAGGAGGGACTTGGTTGAGTTTATGTAGACAGTACTCTTCGGTGGCAAAACAGATCGCAAGCTTTTCGGAATGGCTATACAACACATCCGAAAGAGTTGCTTTTATAGTTCATCAGGCCGAGGATACATGCAGCGGCGGTGTCACTGGCGGTGGCCAGACCCTTCGCTCGCATGAAGCCATCCAAGCCAACTGGCAACGGGCTTCAATTGTTGCTGTGTGCATGCAGACTCTTTGAGTCATAAATCCAACAGGTTCCTCGTCCGTTTGTCGCTCTTCAGACTACTCTATCAAATCCATTTCCACACTGCGCCTCTCACTCATCATCCTCATACTCCTAACCAACTTGAGTCTTATCTTCTCAATGAAGCTTCTGAACCTACTTTTATCACTTACGGCGGCCGCTGTTGCAGCCCGCGAACCGAACCCCAATACGGACATCACTTTTAGTTGTGGCCCGACTTATTCACAGCCGTGGTGTACCACATGGGACGGTCAACAATCGCGGACTTTGTGTGAGTAAAAAAATATCTTCTGATATCCCATGTGGAATCACTCAGCGAAATCACATTAGATTAAGATCTAAGCTGAACATGTTTCTTGATCACTCAAATTACTACAGTGGAGTACGCCAACAGGGTTGGTGGGTCAAACAGCCGGAACGCGAATTGTATCGGTTTCGGATCGGACCTCAACCAATGCTGTAAACCATTCTCATTTCACCTCCGTTCTGAAGTTAGTGTTATTGTCTCATTGCTTCCTTTATATATTCATGTGCGATCAATTCGTTGGATCCAATAAGGCTCAATGTTTTTCTGCCTGTCATATTTTATTTTGCTCTTCAGAGCAGCCTTTTTAGTCCAGATCCTCAGATGTATACCAAGGATGTCCTCGATCACAACATATGCCTCGTGAAAGGAAACAACCCCCCTGCAGCTTGATAAACCCTCGGCAAGAATGTTTGTTTGAGTTGCCGTCTTGTCCGACACATTATCATCCCTTATTCTGGGCGGATTGTCCACCAAGTCAAGGATGCTCGGTTGCTGTGCAATACAAAGTCTCCGCATCCTATGATCTCTTTACTTTCAGGCACCTCAAGCAACATTTGTAACATAGTGTTTTGATTAGAAACCAAGGTGGTTGGTTCTCAATCAATTGAGTTCTTTCCATCACCAATACTCACGAGTATTACTTCTCCCTTTGGATCGCTCCCCTCTCTTCTCCTTTTCTTCATCGTGATGATATTTCTGTTCTTTGTTGTGATCAAAATTATCCCTATCCTTATAGAAATACGAATTCAAATTGTCAACTCAAAATCGCATCCCTTCTTCAAGAGCTTATCTTGTTATAAGATAAACTACCCAAATTGTCTTGTAATACCAGCTGTACCTCCTCTTGGATTTACTTATAGCCCTCCGAGAAAAGAGAGTACTAGGCGGGCCCTTACAAAACCTTGCTTCGCGGGGCTGTTCAGATCCCGGTTGCCTGCCAAACCGCGCAATCATGGTGCCTTCGCGGGTCGGATGGATGCGGCCAGCCCCAAACCTCACCAGGAATGTCATGGGACAAACTCACAACTCCTGGGACTGGAAAGTGAGAAGAGAAAAAGTGGGGGGGGGGGGGGGTTTCATCCGGCAATTTGGAAGATATACAGTTATGGCATGCTATGTAACTTAACGAAGTCTTCCTTCCTGCAAGACGGCGTCCCCCTCTATCTAGGGGAGGGACTTGGTTAAGTTTATGTAGGTAGTATTCTTCGGTGGCAAAAACAGGCTTGCCAGATCGCAAGCTTTTCGGAACGGCTATACAACACATCCGAAAGAATCGCTTTTCTACTTCATTGGGCCGAAGATACATGGACTGGCGGTGGCACTGGCGGTGGCGAGGCCCTTCACTCGCATGAAGCCATCCAAGCCGACTGGCAACGGGCCTCATCCTGTTGCTGTGTGCATGCAGACTCTTTGAGTTATAAATCCAACAGGTTCCTTGTCCGTTTGTCGCTCGTCAGCCTACTCCATCAAATCCATTTCCACCCTACGCTTCTCACTCATCATCATCATCATATTCCTAACAGACTTGAGTCTTATCTTTTCAATGAAGCTTCTGAACCTACTTTTATCTCTTACGACGGCCGCTGTCGCAGCCCGCCAACCGAACCCCTTAACGGACATCACTTTTGGTTGTGGCCCGATCTTTTCAGAGCCATGGTGTACCACAGACGATCCTGACGAATCGCGGACTTTGTGTGAGTCAAAAAATATCTTAATCTGATATCCCATGTGGAATCACTCATAGAAATCACATTAGATTAAGATCTAAGCTGAACATGTTTGTTGATCACTCAAATTACTACAGTGGAGTACGCCAACAGGGTTGGTGGGTCAAACAGCCGGAATGCGAATTGTATCGGTTTCAACTCGGACCTCAACCAATGCTGTAAACCAAAATCATTTCGCGTCCTTTATGAAGTTAGTGCTATTGTCTCATTGATTGCTTTATATATTCATGTGCAATCAATTTGTTGGATCCAATAAGGCTCATTGTTTTTCTGCCTGTCATATTTTATTTTGCTCTTCAGAACAGCATTTTTACTCAAGAATCTCAGAAATATACCAAAGGCCTCGTTTGGCCGTCCATGATCGTCATAAACGATCATGGCGAATATTTCGGGGGCGCACAGCTGAAGACGGGGCCTCACGATGGTGTTTGGGAGGCCACGTCATATCCACTTTCTTTATGACGGAAGTGGTCAGCGAGATATATTCCCTGCCAATTCCAACATTTTGGGTCCCCCCAAAATTTTCCGTCATAAGGCCTCACAGCAAGTTTGAGAAGGATTTTCAGGCTGCGTCATTTGCACAGCCTGGAATCATCAAACCTAGATTCTGATTTAACGATTTGAGACGACGGCCTATAACGATCGTGGACGGCCAAACGAGGCCAAAGATATCCTCGATCGCAATAAGTGCCGCGTGAAAGAAAACAAGCCCCCTGCAGCTTGATAAACTGTTGCCAAGAATGTTCGTTTGAGTTGCCGTCTTGTTCGACACATCATCATCCCTTTTGTCTGGGCGGATTGTCCACCAAGTCAAGGATGCTTGGTTGCTGTGCAATCCAAAGTCTTCGCATCCTATTATTTTGTTCCTTTAGGCACCTCAAGCAACATTTATAACACAGTGTCTTGATTAGAAACCAAGGTGGTTGTATTTCAATCAATTGAGTTCTTTCCATCACCAAGGCTCACGAGTATTACTTCTCCCTTTGGATCGCTCTTAAGATGTTCATGAACTTGGCAAACCCTCTCCAACGGGGTTCCTAAAAGGAAAGTTCACATCGGACTGTTTCACAAAACTTAAACTCACTTTGAACGGGTCTCCTGTTGTTTTTTCAAAAAAAAAAAAACTTGTTGTGTTTGTCAGGAGCAAACTCACACTTGAGGTTTGAAACGTGTGCCTAACTTGAAGCGCCTACATCATTGAGAAAGAATCAGCAGCGGCTGTAAAAATCTCTGAGATTGTTGCCAATAGAGGTTACCATGTAATGACTAGTGAGGGGACTTTTGTCACGTTCGCCACGGACATGATCCAGATTTCTTGGGCTGAGAAGAAAGATGCCTTATTGTCCCCGATGCTAATATGTGCACAACAAATTGGTCTCACTTGAATGCACCCTTCTTGAAATTTCTTTACTTCTATCGAATTTTTCCCTCAAGAAGTTCAGTGTTCCAGTCCTACTTGAAACTCTCTCACCAAGAGATACTATTTATTCACAGTAATTGATCCATTTCTTGTTTATGTTAACTCATGATTCAACCGTAGATTTCAAGAAACGTACAACAGTTATAATTTATATTAGTATAAGAAAAACCAAGAACAAGGGGTAGGTATGAGAACCTGGGAAATTGATAACAGTAAGACTGCAAGATGTGGCTGCAATTCCATGAGAGAAGTGCATAGTTAAGATACCAACGACACAAGAAAATTCTTGTATTGGAAAGGGTAAACCTCCAATGGACATTGGAGGCCCAATGAAATTAAATAGAGAACAGATATTATAATTCCAACACATTCTCCACCTATTCCACTGTCCTTGGATTCTACCAGATATACAAATGTGCATTCTATCTCCTCATCTTGAAGCAGAAATCAATGATGTCTTCCCATCACCAAAAATAAAGGGAAAATTAAAAAGAATAAGAAATCAGGTTTCAAAGGCAATTAGGGAAGTGCCTGTTGAAGGCAGAAGATCCAACTAAACTTTTTTTAATCTATTACAAACAATCCTGGTTTTTCTCTGACAAAGCTTTGGAGTAATTTGGAACTTCTGGTTTGAGATAGTACCTTGACTATTTTACAATTGATGAAAAAAATAGGAAGGAGATAAAAAATCAGGTATCAGATTGGTTCCAGAGAAGTGGAAGGTTGGTATGTATTGTCAAATTTTGACTCAACTCTTAGTTTTTCTCCTTTGATTTGGACCAAGGGTACAACTAATAAAAACAAGCCTGCCTGTATACTGAGTTTTTAAAAAAAATGTTGAATTAGAACAAAATATGGTTCTCTGATGGATTATAAACCTCAGCAGCGAGTCACTCACGCTGCTTCACACCCAAATGATTGAAGCGCTCCTTGTTTGGCAGCCCAATCAATTTGAAAATATGGAACCGCGAAACCGCCTAGAACTCTTGCCTGACTCATTAGTCTTTGTGATTTTTAAACTTGATCAGTGGATCTGCTCCATCAGTAGTAAAGGTAAGAGAAACACTCACGCTGAGATTTCGCCAGGGAAAAAGAACTATTTTGTTTATTCAATGACACAAGTCAGTGATATATCTTTTGATCCAAAATGGCTATAAATAATAAACAAGAAGCATTACTGAATTATTTAAATAGTTTACTGTGTGGTGGTGAAGGAATCAAAGTAATCAGCATCTTGCAGGAGGTCAAATGTAGATTTCCAAAAGCTAAACACACATGTCGCTACTGTCGTAATCATGATGCCCACTTCGGCCATACCCCAGCCAAACACAACTGCCACTCTAATTCAATATCATAGAAATAAAAAAAAAAGTGAGAACTAGATTGCACATGAAATGGAGAATAAAACTGGTTATTAGAAAAAACCAGAAGCTCACAGATTCCACTTGTACTGAAATGCTCCACCAAGTACGACGAATCCCACTACAATCGGCGGTATTCCAAGGTATAAAGTCCTTAAACAAAAGAAACAATGCATAAATAATCCGATCATCGAAATCCCGCAAGACGGGAACGTATGAAAACACACCACAGTCTCATTTCTGGCTCAAAAACCCCATGATTTCGCGCAGTCAAAAAAGAAACCGTCTTATCATTCAGGTATCTACCAGCGACTTCTCCCATGAAGACTGCGACTACTGGAGTGGCATCTATTCTTGCAAATATGAAATTCTTCAGTAGTTGAATTCAGCTAGAGACTTATAACTTATCTTACAAAGTGATGCGACAACAACTTGTGATAGTCCGTAGCCCAGCGGAGGAGGTGAGGAAGTGAAGACGACTGTCATATAGAATCCAGCAAGGTTGGCATTAGGATTAGATGTGCAGTTGCTTGGAATCTCAGTATATCGCGCCTGACTTGCCATTGGTTACGTTAATTCCAATAGCAAAACCAAAAATTATACCCTGAAAATTCATTGCTAAGAAGTCAGCACTCAAAATCGCAGACGATTTCGAATGATCCATTAGAACCGCTTACCATGTAAACGAGGAGAGCTAAACAATGTGGTTTGGTCAAAAGTTGAAAGGTAGGCATGATTGCTTGCCTCCAAGAGCATCTGAGATCAGCTGCTTTGTACCCGCTAATCCCCACCAGAGTTTTCAATCTTGGGGTGGAAGAGGTTCCCGCGGGAGTATCTGCTTGCGATGTTAGATATCGATCATAAATTGTCTCTTCGGCAAACAATGCAATGAGAACGACGACAAAGATTCCATAGAAGCAGCCAATCGCGTATGCCCAACGGTAATTCTGTCGTTTGAATGTCAAAGCTGCTTCAGAAAATTGTTTCCTCCTTGAATCAAGCTCAGCTGATATAGTTTTAAACACTCACAATCTTTTCGACGAGATAGCCGAAGAGCCCTGCGAAAGGATTTCGAAGCTTCTTTTAAACAAAGTTTTAACAGATAGCAAATGGTTGGAACTTACAAGGAGACATGTACGGTGATACTAGAAAACCAGCACTCCAAAAATTCAGCTGTTTTAGAAAATCATTGTTAATAGGAATCCTCTCATATATAAGGAGGGGATATGGATATAAGGAACTAGAAAAGAATGCTTAATCACCATTCGCGCCTGTAAATGAAACGGGTACATGTCTGAAAAAGCAGAGAGACCATTGTCAACCTCTCTTTTGAGCTCTTGAAAAATCAGTTTCACTTAAACCACACACCGGTCACAGCAAGAAGCCCCGTGGTTTGCGGAGCAGTTGCAAAGAACGCGTTCAAACAGCGCATAGCTAGTCCAATTCCAAAATCCAGTCAATAGTTGGTCGGATATAAATTGCGTTTCCCTATGTGTCTCCACCAATATCTTCATGAAGATGCTTACCGGCAAAGGTTTTTAAATTTGGCGCGAAGGTGCAGCCAATTAAAAAAGCTAATCCGAAAAACTGGGACCAAAATAGAACCTGAGATTTGTATAGCGAAGATTGGAAATTTCAATTTGTGTCGACAGCAAAAATCTTGAGCCATTTCTGAAATGCTCACTGGAAGTCGGCCATAACGCTTTGCTAACATGACGGCGATGAGGCCTCCAGGTCCCAGTAGGAAGATTGACCAACTGATTGCCGGTTATAGGCTCAAGGTTAATGGGACAGTTGGTATTGTGGGAAAATTCAACAAGATTGTTTCACATACTTGGAAGAAACATTATTTATCTCTCCTGGTGTAGTCCTGTATTCCCTAGCTAGAGGGAAGAGACAAGCTACTCCTATCCCGCTGTTGAAGTCGGGTATCTGAGCCATCATATTAATCAATCTTCAGCATCTTAGCATTCAGAGAAAGTTTAACCACTCCCGGAGAAATCAGAGGCAATACTAACAAAAGCGGCCATTGTAGAAATGACCAGATTTTTCAACTTTCGGCTGTCAGACCAATTTTGAGGATCGTTGGGATCGGCGCTCGGCTGAGGCCATAAGACGACCTTCCCGGTCTTGTCAAGTTTAAGTTGGGACGCCAATGACTTGCCAAGCTATCGAGAAGATCAAAAAAATATCAGTCGACCCCATAATCTCATCACATGTGCCTGTCGACGAGGCTCATAAAAGACAAGAAACTGCTGAATTACTTCGATTTCCGCTTCTGCAGGGTCAACTATGACCCTCCCAGACCCCCTCTCATATTCATAATTGAGGTCAACCAATCTTCTCGGATCTTCCGCTACTCCAGTCTTGTTGGCAACAATCGCTATTCTTCCATTTGGAGTCGATTCGACGTCTGTCTTTTCACCCATTCCCAACTGTAAAGCGGATTGTCACAAATTGCACGCCATGTCAGCCTGAGCACATCACGATTATTTTCAAAAGTCCTCACAAGCATATTGATTCAAGGGGATTAATAGCTTCTTTTGGTTCGATTCAAGGAGATTGATGATTTCTTTTAGGATGAGGGAGAGATAGACAATTGCGCGTTGCTTGAGCCAGAAATTAACATTGGCTTCAGTTGCGTGGATACTCTCCAATAAGGGCGATAGTCCATCGCCAACTAGACTTTTGGAATAACAAACAAGCCAAAAATCGATCTCTGGACGATAACCAAATATTTTCTTCTCGACCAGGGGTCTCGATGATACTAGCATATAAAAGGAAAGCAATGCGCCAAACAAAACCTTTTTCGTAACAAAATCAGGTCCGTTTTTTTGGAGAACTGAATGGAAAATGAAGCTTGTAGATAAACTCGGAGTTATGAGAAAGGTAAACAAGACAGTTAATGATATCTGACTCCCATCTCCGCACACTATGTATACTCGGGAAGGGTTGGATCATGACACGTGTCCCTGTTAAGCACTTGATAGCCTCCGAAGTCCACCCATATTAGCTACATTGGTATACGGCTGCCAGCAACTGGGGATACACTTGCGCGTATCAAACATTCTTGCTTTGTAGGGGTTTGACCATTCCGATGTGAGAGGGCGAGTCTTGAGTTTGCTGCAACAGGGGTTTGCGGGGCTTTATGGCCCTTCACCTTCACCAACTGGACTGTGTATCCTAGCCGGCTCTTGTGGAACACGGCTATCAAGGTTTGGAGTCTCCAAGAAAGCTGATGCACAAGCTTTCAACTCCAACACAGTACATATATCACCAAAAAGAACATAAATAAGCTTAACAAAAACTTACCATGTTTAGTATGATCCGAGAGTCTCTTTTTCGGTATCTACGGGCTTTGACTGCGATGCTGGAGAGTTATGATGCAGTAGTTATGCTCCCTACCGAAAAAAACTGCTGGGAAATTTACGAAGGAGTAATACTATCTATGGAAATTGGGTTTCTGAGGATGGATGGATCAGATAGCGCATATAATAAATCACGTGAAAAGTGGAGGAAGCTGTAGACTGTGAGGCAGGCATACCAGAAGCTCCAAACCTGGTCATGGAGCCCTGAGATAAATAATTAATCGTACGAACACCGATCCGCGTTAAAGGATGGATTTCCGGGAAAAACACGGCTAACTCATCTGCCAAACAGGCATCTTTACGATCAATCACCACGCTCCATCCATGTTATGGCCTCACTGAAGACGTATGATGACACGATGATTCACCTTGGTGTTGCAAATAGGGTCAAGGTGCCTTTGAAATGGCCTTGAATGTGGGATCTAAACTAGAAGTGAACTTGAGAGATTGCCGACTGGAAAGCTGCAAGTTGAGCAAACGTGCTTTCAACCCCTCTCAAGCATATAGGGGGTTCAGCCGATGGCCTAGCTGTGCTCATCCATGTGGATAGGAAATAAGCAAACGCCCATTCAACTCCCCAGAGCCGAATCCATCGTCACGCTTCATAATGCTGTCGGAGTAGGTAACACGGGTGAAGCTCCAAGAGTTACTAAGGCCATTTAGTAAGGTCCTCAGATTCAAGGGGAAGGAGATGCCAAAATATTTTGGTGCGAATCTGGCTCCTGCTGAAAGGTTCGGCGGAGGAAGGAGTTGACGCCACATTATCAATGAGCACACTTTTCGGAGTCAGTTACTTCGTTAGCTGCTTATCGAGTTACAAATATGCATGAAGTTGGGGCGGCACTCTAGCCTCCCCTGGACACTGTATGTATCAGAAAAACGATGCCTTTTTACCAAATTTACTTCTTTATCCCGCATTGTAGCATTGCATGGCCCTAGTCTTCCTCAATCCCAAAGGCTTGCAAGACGGATCTGTAGGATTCAGGTTTCCTCGTGCCACTGGCACATGTGAACATAAGAACTGCGCCTATCTCCGCCGCATGACCAATTGAAGACCTTGATGTTGGGGTGGAGCTTGAGCTCCAACTTCAAAAATCATGTTTGACTTGAACGTGAATTTGTGAGCATGCAATCAAGAACCATTTGCATAATCCCGAGTCAACCTAAGTCCTCTCGCACAAGACTGTGAAGTAAATTGGTGATATCCGGTAATCAGATTTTAAATGAAGTAGAGTAATGGAAAAGCTGGGTGGTTTTGGATATGCTGAGGTTGCATTTTTTTGTGCTTGTTGTGCTGATGTTGCATGCTCTTCAAGAAATGGTTCTAGATTTGGATAGGTATCTAATGTGCCATGCGATGTCTATTTGTTTCAGGGACCAGATTGTCTTGAGGGTAAGGTAACATTTGAAGTTTAAGTTGGAATTTTGAGATGAGAGGATGGTTTACGACAACCTGATAATTAGGCTGATGGATACATCGGCTAAGTCATCAATGGGTTCGAGCTCAATTTGAGTCTCCTGTGGTGAGTTCAAGTTCAGTTGGAATGTAGGTATCAAGACGATTTCATTTTAATAGCAAGTACTACTGTTACACCGACGTGCTTCAATCGTCATAATCATATGTATAAAGCTGGTATATATCAGGCATCTAAATACCTTTTTCATGAAAAATAAAAAGAAAAGTGCATAACCCTGATTTAAACAGGCTACTCAAAGGAAAATTGTCATGACTTGACTCCGAATATTTCAGAGTTTTCATAAATCCTTGAGTACCTTCTCGGCCGTGTTCAGAAAAATATCAGCATGGATTTTTTCGAACACCAACATCGGTCTCAACCTAACAGTCTGATCCCCACATCTACATAGAGGAACGATAATATGGGCGCGAGTCAAAAAAAAAAGAGGAAAGAGGGAGAGTTAATCAGCCAACCGAGTAATGACGGGTTGACCACGTGCGCAGGGGTTTAAGGGTGAGATGACGTACCCTCCTACATTAACACCAGCTAGTTTCATCTGCTGTACAAATCGATCCCGGGTTTCGGAGCTGGAGCAGTCGAAGGCTAAGAAAGTTCCACTATCTTGGCCGCGTAGGTTGATGATCTTCCCTTGACCGACCGATTTCGAAAGTTCGTCTAGCCCTTGGTAAAGGTATTTCCCCACAGAGCTTACATGCTCTATCAACCTATGGAATCCGAGAGAGTTGTATCATTTCAGACTCTCTGGTGACTTAACAAGCCTACGAGTCGTCAAAATACGCACCCTTGGTCCTGAATCACTTCAATGATCGCCCGGGCTTTCAAGATCTCGGTAGGTGTTCCCATCCAGCTAATGAGAAGTCGCAGGAATTCAGTCGATTTGAGATAACTGCGTTGTCAGCCTTAGAGATCCACATACGTGTTATAGTTGCGGTATGGCTGGGTGGGTCGGGTCTCAGGGGCATGAAAGAAACCAGCAGCTTGCATCTTCTTCGAAAATGTCACAAAGTCCGGGGGTGTTGTCAAGCCCCACTTCTCATGAGCCCAAAAGTGGCCAGTTGCAGCTTTAAATATGCGATTGTTGAGTTACTAGTCCAGCTGATGTACTAATTCGAATCATGTCTGCTTACCAACGCCGGTCTGGACTTCATCAACAATTAAATAGATGTGATGTTTCAGGGTGACTTCGCGTAATTTTCGAAAAAAGGCCGGACTCGCGTGAAAGTCGCCTCCTTCGGATTGGATGGGTTCAACGATTAGCGCTGCAACTGAGCGTCCTTTGGCGTTCCTGTATGGTTTTGGTTTGTGAATTATTATTAGAAAAATTGAAAAATGTCAATTGTCGCGCGTTGAATAAGCACACGTATGACTTAAACACGGGACGCTTCATGGTTATGAATTAGTTGGCTAAAGATACTGACCATTCGACTATGGTTTCCTCAACTTTACTGATCGCATCCTCTTCGATTTTCTTGTTCTCGGCTTCATGATCAGCCAATGGATATTTCAGACGGGGGAATTCAACTGCTGGCCAGTCAAACGCTGGAACATCGATCTAAGAAGATGAAGGGGTGATCATAATTCCTTCAGAGAGGGATAAATAGGCTAGGTACTTGGAATGTTGAAGATGTGGATTCAACAGACCTTGTGGATGGCTTTGCTGCGGGTAAGACTCAAGGAGCCAAACAACCTCCCGTGAAATCCACTACGAAAGCTCATAGCTACCAAGTCGGGTGATCCAGGTTGAGTATTGTTCATGCACGACTTGAGCTCTTCAGCTGAAAACTGGCTCAAACCACCCCCTCTTTCGCGTTGACGGTAGGCGAAGAATGCCGCCTTCAGTGCACCCTCGTTGGCACAGGAGCCGCACCTTGATTGATGATGTTAATTGGGGTAGAGTCAAATGATTAACGCGAATTGAATTATCATAAATAAAACGCGAGTGATTGGATGAGACGCGATTTACATCATCGTGAAAAGCTGATTGAGTCCTTGGGGTGCGACTTTGAGTAGGCCAGTCGATACGATATGGTCCCAATTTGCCGGAGGGAATGATCCAAGAGCGGGTCGGTTCATGCTGCAAAAGTAAATACAAGATAAATATTCGGACTGATGGGAATAAGTCCTCAAGATAATCTGTGAGACTTACGCCAATTGAACGAATTCATCCTGATGTCCAAGGAGAGATAAATGGGAGGGATATGGTGGGTCAAGTATCAGTAGACGAACGTCTGGAAACTGAGAACTCTGGTAGCTCTGACCGATCTTGCGAGTTCCAAAAGTTTGGGATGGTTATATCCGATCGCGATCGAAGCTGCATGGACGCGGATGAGTGGTGAGATAAGCATAATGAGATTGGACTTGTATGTAGCGATTGAAGCCTAAATGAAGCAAGCCTACCGATCTGAGCAAAAACGTCCAATAACCTGTTCCCATCCACGTCTTGCAGATAATTGCCAATGCTCTTCGAATAATCTTTTGTAGAGGAAAAGTATGTTGACCTCAGTGACAATCGCCAACACGGATCATGAGAATAACGACGTCATACCGGCAACCATCTGATGGGCTCGAGCTAAATTCGAAAAAAAAACAAAAACAAAAACAAAAATGAGGATGGGATTCCAATAAGCCATAGAATCGAGTGAAGAGGGTCGATCACCCAGAAGAAGGAAAATCAAAGCCTACCGTCTTGCCATTCGTTGATCTCTCGAGATAACTTCCGACTCGCGGGTCCAGGGATTTCCGAGGTAGACACCTGAGGGCCTGAAGGTTCCTTGGCGAAGAATCGGGGACTAGCCTGCACCGCATAGGTTCTCTTGGCAGCTCCGGCTCGGGTGCGGGTTTGATCGAGCGACTGCCGGAGGGTCAGATGATGGTGGCGAGGTGCAGGTCGACTGAGAAAGAGCAGTGGTCTCAGGAACCGCACCGGTGAGATGGTCGAGCGGATAGGGTAGGACATCTCTCTGCTTTTTCGGGCCGTCTTCAAATCTGTTGGTCAACAATTACCCGAGTTGCAACCTTCTGAGACTTGTTGCGGGATGGTCAGCAGGATATCTACGCATACAACATCATATCCAGACCACATTATAATTGTATCACCGGTGTCACGTATCGGCCCCAGACTTCGGCACACCAACCATCCATCGATGAACCAGGCAACTCCGAAAACCGTTGCATTCCAATTACATGGAAAATGATTGTTATAAAATGGAATGAAAAAAGGGGCTTTCAAATTTTACCAAATCTGTTTCATCTTTCTCAGGTATTCGCAACTAACTAGATCTCTTTCCAAGTTGCTGCCATGTGGGGCTGATTGCCTTTGTCACAGAAAGAGCCTCTCTGGATCATATGTCCCTTTTTTGTGTGAATTGATCCAAGAGGGCATGAAGGGGCTTCTTGCTCTCAGACTGATGCAAGTGAAAAGGGTAGGAAGAGGTAGAAAGGCTTTTGCTCCTAACTTAAACAAGCCCTCCTTGCCTGGGGGTGGGGACTTTGGCTCTGCTCTCAGAGCATGATTTGTATAGTAAACATCTATTTATAAGGTTTTTTTTTTATATTTTTTTAAAAAAGAAATGGACAAAATCGCAAGTCAAGGTCAACAGGAAAAAGGGATGGGCCATTGGCCAAGACTTGACACCATCACTGTATGTATGTTGGACATAATTAAGAGTTGTTGGATCAGATTTGGCTGAAGATTTGATCACTGTGAGATTCTACAGGACCATCATTGATTTGATCATTGATTTGGCCTTTTGAAAACAGCCTTTCACAAGCAACAATGGTTACCACAATCCAAAGGGAACTACAGTACATAGGGCAATTCAAAGAAGCTTTGATTGGAATTGCTAAAAAAAAGGAAAAACAGAGCTAATTAAAAAAGACAATCAGATAAGAAACACAATATCACAATGAAATCAACAAAGTGAAGCATACCCAAGTGTTGATTTACTTAACAGAGACAGACAACTAGAATGAAATTGAGAAAAGACTAAAGAACAACAATATTAAATTAGCCCAAACATCAGGACAACAAGGATGTAGTGCTTTGACTGCACTTCTCACCAAGTTGGAGGACAGCATAGATTTGAGTTTGGGTTTGATTGAGACTTGATGTTGAGTCTTTCTTTGATCAGGTGTTGTGAGTTTTGGCAATTAGATGATCCTATGGTGGTTTGGAGCCAAAGGCAAGACCAAGCTGGGTGAGATATGAGATGTAAGCTGGGTGAAAGAAAAACTGAAAAAAAATAACACTCATGATCAGTTTTGCCCCATTTTTTTGTAAAAAAATAAGTCTTCCATGGCCCTTCCTATAACGAATTCTGTAAAATGCAGAATGTAGCAAAATAAACTGGAACCCTCATGCTCCTGTCAGATTCTTTTTCCGCCAGGGTACAATGGATTTACATACTAAAAAAAACCAACTGTGTAAAGGAGCCCAGGGTTGATTTTGTGGCAATCCTTCAGCCAGTTTGGATTGTGAGCCAAAGAGGCCACATCCCATGATGATCTTGATCCATCAATAAATTAGCCAAGAAGCACTTTTTTTATTATGGAAACCAATTTGCGGAATGTTACATAATTCATGGGTATACGTCAGAAGTTCATACCCAATGGCATACATATTTGAGGATTCCTCTCAGGCCAGAATCACCGATACCGCAGAAGACTCGACCCCGGACCCTCGGGACTTGGTTAAGTATGGGGGAAGTCGGGAGTGGGGCTGATGAAGATCGATTGGAATTAGCCAAGCGGGAGATGCGCTTGAGATAGTTCTACCGGTCACCGGGCATGCCGGACCACCGATGGTTCAAGCTGGTCATTGGAGCGGCTATGCATGTAGAGCAGCTGACCGAAGCGCTAGCGGGGCTTGCTGTTTCATATCATCTCATCAAGGTTGGAGGCTGACCAGGATGAGCGTTTTGGGAGCTCCAAGCAAGCTCTTTGGGCCGGATGAATATCTAAGGAAGATCCCGAGAGTGTAGCAGTACCGGCCAAGGATTCCAGGCAGGCAGAAAACCTCCGCCCGGCCATTGCAGTTTGATCGAGGAGTCTTGATGGCCCTTGGACCGAAAGCGGTTAATGTGGTATGGTCCATCCGGTTGCCCGTCAGTGTGCCGGCCGGCTGGTGGAGGTTCCTTGAAACCCGGTCGGCGATTTCCCTTTCGGGCGATAATTTGAGGATTGAAGGGCGCTAGCGAGTCTGCTAGTCCCATCCACACTTTTACAGATCACTCCCCCTTGGGCCAGTCCATCCTCCCCCCCTCAAACTTCCCTATGTAGTTCACGATTGAAGAAATACCCCCAGATTCCTCCTTCAAATACCCCCCCACCCATTCGAAGCACACCAGCTGCCAGGACCATCACCATATCACCAGGAAATAATATACCATGAATATCCCGGCCTCCATCCCACCCTCGCTCACCCTACACCACTCAGAACTCATCCAGGCCATCTCAGCAACACTCATCCTCAGACCCATCCTACTCCTATTCGAACACAGCCCACTCCTCATCCACTCCGCCACTGCCATCCTATCACTCTCCTGCTGCCTCATCAGCCAACCCAGCCTACCACTCTCACTACTCACCATCTACCTCTGCGCCGAATCAGCCTTCCATCTCCTCTTCCTCCACAGATACCGCCAGCTCCACCAGACCAAACTCAACCTGCTCCCTCCCCCGATACCCTCGGCTGCTCTGCGTCAACAGATCGTCGATGGCCTCATCTCAAGCTTCCAGTCCTCCTCAGAATTCAGACAATCACTTGCTGACTGGTTCTACCACATCCACACACTCAAAGCCGTCCATCTCCACCAGATCCATCACGACAACCTCGCCCAACTACTCGCCTCTCTCATCTTCTCCACCCCACTAGACAGCCTTCCGCCCGTCCATCGTGCCGAAATTCACGCGGATATCCGCAGGACTCAGCTCGCCATCAAGCACGTCTTCAAACAAGGGCTCAACCCCCAAATCCGCTCCTACCAACACACCCTCGACCCCATCCAAGCCCAACATCGCCCGCTCTTCTTCTACCTCATCATCGAGTCCCTCCGCATCCTCCTCCACCTCCTCCTCTCCCTCGTCGGCTTCCGTCGCCACTCTATCCCCCTCAACCAGACCTCCTTCTCCTACTGGTTCCATCCCGGCCTCTCCAACCCCTCTTCAGCTCAGCATCCTCCCATCATCCTCGTCGCTGGTATCGTCGGTCTGATCTCTGTAAGTCTAGTGGGCTGGCCCACGTGGGTATCTTTCTCTCTACTATCCCCCCCCCCCCTTTTCCCACACACACACTAACACCCACTCACACAGGTCCCTCATTACGCGATCTATCTGCTCTGGAAAACGCGACGGCCGATCTTTCTAGTCGGGAACCTGAGTGTTTGTGAGTCCGGAGTCCTCGCCTACATTAGACGAATATCGCAGCAAACTGAGCATCCCAAGATGATCATGGACAGCGTTGACTCTGAGCAAGCCGGAGCTCGACCTCGTCCGGGTGGTTCGGGAGACTGTCAATAACGAGGACGCGCCGGTCTACCGCCGCAAGATCCAGACCCTGGCCGAACAATCTCTCTGTCTGAAAGCCATGCTCGACCGTCACCGCTTCCCTCCGCGCTCCAATGAGCACAAAGATACAGACCAGCCGCAGGCCGGCGGCGCGTTCCTCATCGGCCACAGTCTCGGCACCTGCTTGACCGCTCACTTCGTCCGCCATCATCCCCAATACGTCGTCGGCACTCTCTCCATCGATCCCATCTCGGTCCTGCCCTACATCCCTGACCTGGTAAGCCCCGCTCGACCCTTACTCCCTGTTGCTCCCATTCCAAGTCTGACGGTCTTTTCATCTCTAAGGTCCGAGGATTCCTATACACCGAGCCCAAGACGGTTGGGCAATTATTGGTGCGAGTGATTTCGCAGGAGATCGGAGTGGCGACGGTGATCCAACGCCACTTCCACTGGTTCGAGTTTGTGATGTTCCCGCATCTAGACCAGCCCGGCTCTCCGCTGGGCGTCTCCGCAAGCCATCGGCACCACTTCGTCCTCTCCGAACACGACGCGCTCGTCAACCATGCTCAACTGGCTCGATACCTTGCCATGGCCAGACCCAATTGCACCTTCACCTCTCTCGAAGCCGCGCCGCATGCCGGCTTCCTCTTCTTCTATCTCCGGCCCGTCGTCCATCTTTCGCTCGCCCTCCTCGCCTCCTCTTCCCCCCACCCTTCTTGTCCACACCCTCCCAGTCCTCCTCTTCCTCTTCCTTCTTCTTCCTCCCCGGCTGATCTCAAACTGCATCCCAAACCCAGTCACAAACCCAAGCCGTCCTTCTTCCGTACCCTCTTCTCTAACCCCTTCGTCCCCCTGTGGACCTCTTCTTCCGACCACCTTAATGCCCACTTGTCCGTCTACTGGCTCCTGCTCTTCTTCGTCCTCCTTGTCGGACTGCCCTCCTAATCTCTCCCCTCCCCTCACTCGGAATTGCTTCTTATACTTGGGTGTGTGTATATATCTTTCCTTCTTGATTATTGGTTTTTTTTTTTTTCTTTGTGAAGGAAAAGTAGGCCACTCGAAGACCTCCCTTTTTTTTGCTTCGCACCTCCTTCGATCTTCGCTGTCCCATCTTTGTTTTCCCCATCTTGTCCACTCAACCCCACCGATTCTTGTATTTGTGTTTTTCCCGCTACCGTCGGATGGAAGATCTTGTCTCCTCTCCCCCTTTCTCTCTCTCTCTCTCCCCTGTTTTTGTCTTTGTTTGTTTGTTTGGTTGGTTGGTTGGTTTTTTTTTTTTTTTGGAGTCGCAGTTTGTACGCTTGGTCTTTGTTGTTAACAATGTGTGTGTTTTTTGGTTGGTTTGAATTAATGTCTATGCTAATGATTATAACGATGACGATAAGTCCTATCAGATTTTAGGAAATCAGTTCCCAATATTTCCCAAATCAACAACCTCATAGTTGATTGCTATGTAGGCTTGATTCCAGAATTAATCTCGAATGTCGATGGTGTAGAGATCTAACCTTTGATCTCATCCTATTCATGACTCTAGTGACCCAGCTTTTTTCAAAAAAAAAAAAAAAGAAAGAAAGAAGGGAGCAGAGCAGTTTTGAACTCAATCTCAAGAGCCACAACCACAGCCAAGATGGCCGCACTGAGTGCGATCTTCAAGGGCTCCTCCTTGTTTGCTCATCTACAAGACGGGTAATGGTATGTATCTCTCAGAAGAGCTCGATTATCCTGGGTCTGACTGGAGAGGTAAGAGCGAGTATTTACATTGGGAGAAAACACTCTTCATGTTCATGACAGAAGGATGAGAGAACACAGGGAGAGTTTTTTGATATGTAACACAAGAGAGAGAAACAAAAAGATCACACGATTTCCACATGTTTCTGGGTCTCCAGTTGGGTTATCCGAGCCTTGTGAGAGGTTATATATGTAAGTCACAACCCACGACGAGGAGAGCGGACTGCTGTGGATTGGTAGCCCGAGCCGGAATTTGCCTCGGGATGGAGCACCTTGAGCAGCAGGACGACGACGACGACAATCACGCCGAGCCAGAACGTGCCACAACTGACCATGCAACCCTTGGTGCAAATACGATCGTCCCCGTCCCGGGTCCGAGTGATTGCTGAGCCCGGGCGGAGGATCCGGCTGTCTCGGGCGGCTCTGTCGGCCGGATTATATGGGACCATCGCTCCGGCCTCTGGCAAGGCAATGTTGTGCTACATACATAACACGCCGCCACAAGCCGGGAAAAAAAAAATCCAAGCTCCGATGAGGACGACGCGTACATTGAGAGGCCCCCCAAGAGAGTATGACTTACTTGTGCATTGTATTCCCGGATCATTTTGTCGTAGGACGAGACGTGATCGTAGGCGGGCATGTCGATCGGGACTGCTCCATCGACCGGTACAAGCTCGACGATCCGGGCCGGAGCCGGCGAGTCCACCAGGATCCCTTCTCGACATCCCCTCGAAGCGTCCTGCCCCAGCGCGGCCAATTCCTGCCCGGAGGGATGGACCCCGATTGTTGCCAAGAATCGGCTAACAATCTGTGCAGACATCGATCCAAAGGTTATCATGTATTAGTTCCGCGCGCGCTAGACACAACAATGCTTCGTGGATCGATTTTCAAGCTGGGGACTGACTGGGATGAGCATCAGAAAGGTCTTCATCGTGTCGGGAATTTCGGACTTGTTGGGCTCTCCAAGGACCAGGTTGATATCTACGCGAAACGTCGGAGGCCCGGGTAAGGAGCTAGTTTTGAAGCGCTGGATTTTGTCCCGAAAAACGCTGGGTTGCTCCGCTCAAGTTATGAATGATCCCAAGCAGCAGCGAGAGCAGCTCCGAAAACCGCCCACGGCCTTCATGTTTAGTCTTCTTTGTAACCCGCGTGTTTCTGATCCATAATTGTTGATGGTTGGAGCCTGTTTGCACTCGAGTGTAACGTTTGAAGTGCTCGGTTGCTACTCTGTTCTTGACTGAGGATTTCGATGGTAAGCTATTGGATTCTTTAGTTATTCTTTCTTTATGTAGTTTATTAGTTGGTATTACAATCTTTTAGTTTTGGTTTCGCGATCTCTTTGTTTTCTTTATTTATCATTATATGTAGGACCGAGGAAAGCCCCCATAGACAACAGTAACCAAAAAAAACTGAGATTTTTGAAAAATCCATACATTTTTTGAGCCCATTCATACACGTTTCGTGCGTACGTTCAGCACTTTCCAGAAAAATTCATACATTTTTGGTGTGTACCTTGGCAGCACAGGGGGGGGGGAGGGGTAAAAGAGGCAACAAAAAGGGGGAGAGGCTAACCGTACACCAGTCCTCACTTCAAGGGGTCTAGTTGCTGGTGCAAACAGCCCCTCTGAACTGCACATCAGCCATTCAAAGCATTGGGCCTCTAACTTGACTAAGTCCCTCCGGGCAATTGATCCAATGGCTTCCTGCGGAGGGTCCCTGCGGGACGGCGTCCACCCTCCCATAGAGGGACTTAGTGTTGTTGACAAGGTGATTTTTTTTGGTTGGTTGATTACGATAAGGTCCATCACATTTTAGGAAATCGATTTCAAATGGCTCTTACAACAAGTGGAGCGTAACTTGAAGTCTATAATGTATTTCTCAAATGTACTGCAGAGCTGATGGCTATGTGGGACTCAGCTCAGGACGTTCCTCCCTGCAGCAGGCAATGAATTCCAAAGTGATACCCAATTGATTCCAGAATTAATCTCGAATGCCTACTGGTGTAGAGATATAAGCTTTTCATGGCAAAAGGGAGCAGAGCAGTTCGAACTCAATCTCAGGGGACGACCAAAGAGTGAGATCTTCAAGGGATCCTTGTTTGCTCATTAAAGGTGGGTATATATCTCTCAGAAGAGCTCGATTATTCTGGGTCTAACTGAAGAGTTAAGGGGGAGTATTTACATCGGGAGAGAACACTCTTCATGCTCATGGCAGAAGGTGGATGAGAGCAGACAGGGAGAGTTTTTAGATATGTAACACAAGAGAGAGAAACAAAAAGATCACACGATTTCCACACGCTTCAGGGTCTCCAGTTGGGTTATCCGACCCTGGTGAAAGTCACAACCCACGACGAGGAGATGGCATTGCAGTAGTTTGGTACCCAGGGCCGTTATCTGCCTCGGGATGGAGCACCTTGAGTAGCAGGACGACGACGACGATAACTACGCCGAGCCCAAAAGCCCCCCAACCGATCATGTAACCCTTGGTGCAAATACGATCATCCCCGTCACGGGTCCGAGTGATTGCTGATCCCGGTCGTTGGATGCGGGTGTCTCGGCCGGCTCTGTCCGTCGGATTATATGGGACCATCGATCTGTCCTCTGGCGGGGGAATCTTGTGCTTAAAACACCGCCGCGAAGCCACCAGGAAATTCCAAGGTGAAAATTTAGTTCCACAGAGTCCTACATAAATAAAGCCCCACAAGAGAATTATTACTTACTTGTGCATTATATTCCCGGATCATTTTGTCGTAGGACGAGACGTCATCGTAGGCGGGCATGTCGATCGAGACTCCTCCATCCACTGGCACAAGCTCGACCATCCGCGGCGGAGACAGAGAGTCCACAATCCCTTGTCGACATCCAATCGAAGAGTCCTGCCCCAGCGCCGCCAATTCCTGCCCGGAGGGATGCATCCCCAGTGTTACCAAGAATTGGCTAACAATCTGTGCAGACATCGATCCAAGGTTATTTTATTAGTTCCACGCCAGATACAGAAATGCTTATATAGCTGACGTGCACGGATTTTCAAGGTCCAAACTGACTGGGATGAGCAATAGTATTAGGAAGGTCTTCATCGTGCCGGCAATTCTTGAACTTGGTCTCTCCAAGGAACAGGTTGATACGCGAAATCTCCAAGGCCCGGGTGCTGGACGGAGGGGGACTACGGAGCGATGGTGCCGCTCAATTTATGATCCCAAGCAGGAGCGAGAGCACATCCTAAAACCGCCCACGGCCTACATAGTCTTCCTTATAAGCGTGTTTCTGATCCATAATTTTGTGGAGCCTCTTTGTTGTACTCGTGTCTCAATGACTGAATCTTACGGATGATGGAACTACATAGGTCATCCGACCAAGCTGGCAAGACCTGGGCAGAATGGTTACAAATGTGTACGCCCCGGGAGAACTGCTGAGATAACACACTTGCCTGGTGTTCCATTGACCAAGGGTCCATTCCCTACACTATCCGCGACGCCTTTCCGGTCTGTGTGGGTGTGGAGGTCCAGTGCCCCGTTAGGCCCTCTCCTCTCGTGCAGCCTGTTCTATGTGTAGCCTTGGGGCGTGGCGGCTGTCGAGTGATTCAGGAGAGATTGTAAACTCCCAATTCAATTCTCTTCTCACATGTTTGGGTTTGAGAATCTCTGTCGATGCCCCCCTTTTCCTTTTTGTTTGCTTGGATTACATAACATCCTGTGCGGTTTATTGTTGTTGTTAACAATGTGGTCTGGTTGGATACATATATTGGATTTTAATGAGTTAATGATCATGCTAATGATTATGGTAAATTAGGATAAGATATCAATGATAACATTAATGTATGACATGCATACATAGCAGATGGTAATGAAGATAAGAAATACTATCCATACACCAGGACTTTCCTTTTTGGAGGAGATTCAGAATTCGAGATCATGTTTTGAAACATCATGTACTTTCACAATATACACTTTGGCAGCCCATCATCCTCAGCCTCGATATCATGAAATACATGCAACGGCGCTTGAGTGCCGCACAGCTGTGATCAAATCTTCATATTAAGTTCATAAGACGCCGTTTGGACTGAGCCATTATGTACTCACACGAACTCCGATCACGATGAGAACATGTGGATGATATTCGAGACAGTTCCGCTCTCTTATAGCTGTCCAACTCCTTAGGAAAATCAAGGTCTTCTGTTTTGGGATCTATATTTCCTTGGCATGTGACCATGATGAGAAAGGACATTGATGTGGTCTTTTGGTATCACTAGGAACTCATGTGACTTGTGACTGATGAAGTGGATGTAAGTACTGAGATGAATAGAGGCAGCGATTTAAGGAAGAAATACATTGGAGAAATCGACGGTTGGGGGAAGCCAGAGGAGCGGATCAAGCTTGATCTTCCATCTCCTCGCCCTCCTCGGCCTCCTCGATTTCCTCGCCATCTTCCATTGTAGCCCGCTCGAAGACCAAGCCGTCTTCGGCCGCTCCTTCGATCGAGCCGGCCGTTGCCGAAGGCTCGAAGCCGTCGATCTCCATTGGCTGGCCGTCGGTCTTCAGGACAAGTTCAGAGGAGGAGGTGACACCGCCAGACGACGGATTCTGCGAGAGCCCTTCGGAGCCACTGTCAATCTTCATCCGGTCCTCCGCCCGCTCGCCCGTGTGCTGCTGCTCAGAAGTCGAAGGCGGCTCGAAACTGGCCGCTTGCGGATTCAAGCCCGAGCTCGGCTCCCCAACTTTCCTCACCGGCTGGCTCCCCTCTCGAGCTCCCGTCTCGGTCGGCCTCTGCGTCCGGCCATCCGCTCGTTCATCCGTCTCTGCTTCCTCCCCACCGCCCGATTTCGGCACGCCGGATCCTTCCCCACCCTCTTCCCCAATATTCCCATCATCCGACTCGTCATCATTCAACGCTTTCTTCCGATCCGCATCGGCTTTCTCTTCCCTGAATTCGTTCGTTTTTTTTGTTTGTTTGTGGGAAAAATGTAGATGAGGGTGTATTATTAGTCTTTGTTTTTAAAAAACAACTTGTGTAGAGCAGAGAGAGAGAGAGATGAAAAGCGAAGAAAGACGCGCTTGATGCTCTCTTGTAATACTTCGAGCTTCGAAATGACCGTGTCAAATTGTGCCCTTCTCGAGGCCCATCGTTCGGCATAGAATCCTTGCTCTTCTAGCAAGCTCTCGATCTCACGCGCCAGACCATTAATCCGACTAAATCCCATCATTTTTTTTTAAAAACCAACACATCAAGGTCAATACATCAGTTCTTATTTTCTGATTGGGGGAGTTTGATCACCAGGCAAGATTCTCAATAGGAAAAGAAAAAGGTGATGTATACAAAAAAGAGGGAAATACCAAACTCAGCACTTTGGAATCGATCACTAAACCGACGGACTTCCTTCCCGATTTCCTCGTACTGGATCTTATTACGGCGCTCTCGTCGAGCCTGATCCAAGAGAGATTCCAAGTGATTGATCTTAAGTTTCTCATCCAAGGCGTGATTTTCGAGCCGGGTTTTCTCGACCTGTAGCTGGCGAGATTCGGAGTGATTAAGGAGGACGGCTCTGGAGCCTTTGACCTCTTTCAAAGTCTTGACCAGTTGGCGCAGTTCGAGTATGAAGCTCATATGGATGATCTCTAGTTCCTCCCTCTTTCTTTCTCCACCGGCTCCTCCTTCTTCTTCTGCCTCCTTCCCCGTCGGGATCATCGTCAGCTTGTAGAACGTCCGCATCAGTCGGATTAATGGTCTCTCCGAATGCGATATTCGCGTCTTGATCAGATCCATCGTCGCTTCATCGTGCGCTACTGCCATTTCGATGTATTCGATCTTCTTCTCTACTTCGGGTCTGATATCTGGATGGTTGTCGGGTGGATGTTTGTTCCGAATGGTTGATTGGTGTCCATCTGCTCACCCCCCGAAAGCGCGGAGACAGCCCCGGAAGAGCCCGAATGCCCACTTGCCCACTTGCCCCGGACAGCCCCGGACCCTTGCAAGCCAATGTTCATGTAAAAACAATTTTCTCTCAACTCATTCCCTCAAAACAATTTTTCCAATGGCTTGCCAGTGGGACTTTTTCCTCGTATGAACCACATCCTGGCCTGACATGAGCCAAGAGCTGTTTCTTGGCTGTTTCTCACAATTATTTTTCTTTTCCCCTCCTGATCACATGTGAAATTTTCACCAAGTTCTGATAGAAGTGCCTGCATCTCCTCTTCATACTGCCTTCTTCCTTTTCTGCAAATACTCCCCAGCTCATGCTATAATTTTAGAATTTTTTTTTAAACTTTGTCATTTTGATAAAAAAAAGCCTGTCTTGTGTTGATCATGAAGCATGGGCAGTTAAGTTCAATTGTTTTTTTTTTTTTTTTTTTTTCAAAAAAAAATATGGAGATGGAGCCCTGCAGCTCCAAGGTTCCATCAGAAGTGCTGCAAGAATCAGTGCTTTCAAATTTCAAAATCTCTCATGCTTCTAGCTTTTAACAAGTCCCACACTTCTGTGGGCCTGGTGTGTGGCTGGTGCCACTCACACAGCAAGCCTCCAAAGGAGGGACTTGTGCCTAATATGCATGTGCTTCTGTGTTGCTATGGACCTGTTTTGGTGTAGAGATTTTGGGATCTGCCACCATGCATGTGTTTTTTGTTTTTATTCAGGCAGAGTCAATATGGCAAATGCTGACCATGATGCCAATCTTTTCATTGAATTTATAGGGATTTTTCCTGAAGGTGATCAGATGGGTAAGAAAATACAAAATGTTGAGAAAAAAAAAATAAAGAATCAAAGTTGAGCTCTGAGCTTTCAGAAGCTATTACAAAAGAAAAAAGATCAAATTTGAGTGGAACATTTGATAATTACAAACTTCCTACAGCATGTGGTTGTACTTGTTTTTTTGTCAATTTGTCAATCATAATTTCCAATAGCATCTTGGCCACACTGTCCCAAAGTTTTCTCCATGAAAGTTAAGAAATTGATTTAGGGGCTTGGAAAACAACTCCTAAATTTTAGTCGACGACTCCCATTTGTTGGTCGACATTGAGAGGACCGTCTGCAAGGAGTCGTTGGACCAATTTGAATTTTTTTTATGGGAGTCGTCTGCCCATTTTGATTTTTTATTTTATTTTTTTTGGGAGTTGTCCGCCTAATATTCGTGAGTCGTAAATCCTAATTCTCATATTTTTCAGGGTTTTCTGTTGTTGTTGTTGTTGTTGTTTTTGTTTTTTGACTGGGAGTCATCAGGCTAAAGTTGCCTGACAAAAAGGGAGTCAACAGCCCAATTGTCACAACCTTGTTCTCGGCTTTTTTTGTCTTGCGGGAGTCGTTGACCTTGCTTTTTTTCTGTCACATTTTGCCAGACATTTCTTCCTTCTTTCTGCCCCCCCCCATTAACACAACCCTGATTTTTGTTTCTTTTCTATCCAATTTTTCTCCTTTTGTCCCCTTGCAGTTACATCAACCAAGACTCTTTCCTGCCCCTCAGCTCTTGACACTACAAGCAATACCAGTTTTGCCCCAGGAAAAAATGGCAATTTGGGTGGTGGAAAATAGGTCAGTTTCCTGAGGCTTTTTTCAAACATTGACTCAGGAGTAGAAATTAGGCTAAAACGAGCTATTTTAGCCCAAAAACAAAAATCCCTCAAACATTTGCCGCAAAACTGGTATTGTTTGTAGTGTGAAGGATTGGAAACAAAAGGCTTCAGAAGAGGCTTGGGGATGGGAAGCACAGTTTTCTGAATGTTTCCAATTGACTGTAGAGAGGAAGATTGCAACTGCAATGACCCACTACTAGGTTTTTTTACTGTGTCTTTTTTAATCCTTGATTTTTTTCCCTCTATGTCCTTTTTTACCCTGTTTTTTTTACATTTCTGATCATTTTTGAATGTTTTTTTTTTTTTTTTTCCTTTTATCATTTCTTTTATCTTTATCTTTGTCTCCCTATTGTTTTTCTCAATGAATATAATTTTTCTCAGTGATAAGGTGCCTTTGGGGCAGGGTCTCAGTGGCTCATTTTTTTATGTCTCTGGGGTCAATAGGGTCTCAGTGGCTCAATTTTTTTATGTCTCTAGGCTCACTATATGGTGACAACTCCCATAATAAAAAATGTAGAGGGCTTTTTAGGCGGGTGACTCCCATTGTTTTTAATTGTTGGAATTTTGCTCAACATCTCTCTCCATTTTTCTCAACATGTCACTCTTTTTTGTTATGTCACTCCTTTTATATATTCATTATGCATAAGTGTTTGATCCCACAACTTGTGCTCTTTGTATCTAGAATAATTAAACATGACCGGATACTGAGATAATGAAAATCATCAGTTCTTACTATTTTTAACTGGTCCTAAGAGGACACTTTAGCCTCCTCCTAGCCTTTGTCAATCGCACTTAAGCCAGCCCAATTGTCTAAGTACAAAAATAACCAATCTCAGACTTCTGTCTGCCTTCGGCATCGCCGACTTTTCCCCTCATTGACTCAAATTTTTACATTAATAACAAAAAAATAAACATATTTGCCTGAATTAGGGTGACCACTCCCGTTTTTTAGTCGGACGACTCCCGTATTTTTTAATAAAAAAATTAAAAATCTTTGGTGAAATTAGGGCAACAACTCCCTTTTTTTTTCTTGGAAATTAGACAAATGACTCCTGCCAACGACCCCTGGACCAAAACAGGAGTCGTCAACTAAAATTTAGGAGTCGGTTTTCCAAGCCCCTTGATTTAACAGGTTTTTCCAAGCAAAAAACACTTGAAAAACACATTCACAACATGTGGGCATGCTTGTTTTGGGCACAACTTTTGCTTCACCAAAAGTGACTGAATGCTCGGGTCAAAATATGACATATGGTGCAAGTCCCTCCAGGGAAGCCATTGGAATGTGTCCTCAAGGTACTTGTGTCAAGTTAAGCTTTTCATGCTGTTTGTATTTAAACTGGCTTGAAAATTTAGGATACCAAGGCACTATGGCCCTCTCACCATAGCTAACTGAAGCTTGCATTTCTCAGGAAAACCCCCTGAAGATGGATTTATATTTGTCTTTCTGTTAACAATGCAACTACTACACATCATTGAGTGCAATTTTTCAGAAATCCAACTACTACACTGCATTGAATGTAAACTTTTAGATAAATTAGTCTATCTTGTACAAATCAATAAATTTAGCTTAACTGAACTACAGTTACAGTCATACAAGATTTGAAAAGAATGGTGTGGTTTCAGCTACAAAGTACAGCCAATTAGCTCTGATCTATAAAAACTAAAGCTGATTCCCAAAAGGTTTACAATCTTAACTAATTGGGGCAGGTCTGGGTGGCAGCCCAGTCTCATTAGATAAAAGCACCAATTTGGCCTGAGCAAGATGGAATTTTTAGGCCTGTTTTTGCACTTTCACATCTGGCTTCCATGTCATTCTTCTCAAAAATTAATTGAGCTGTTTTTCTTGTCTCTGACATCTTGCAGATTTTTCTGTATTTTTTATTGTATTTCCATGCCAATTGTCTTTTAAGAAAATAAATAATAAAAAAAAAGAAAATTCTCACTTTGCAGACACAAAATAAACTTATACTGAGAGTGAGCTCAAAAATCTCTGCCAAATTGGCAAATCAAAGTTCAAAATCATGAACTTCATTGGAGGTTTTCTGCTAGAACCAAACAAGTTTTTGCACTAAAAAATATACAAAAATCAAGATTATGTATGTAGGTCTTTTATCTACCAGAACCCAGAATAAATTTGACTTAAAGTGAATGAGTGGTGGGGCAAACAATTTTGCCACCACCAAAACATTGCATCCTGCTCATTTCAGAAAGGTGTTTTAATATGAAATTCCCTCCCTGCAGGCAGGGGTGCTTTTCACCCAGCCAGTTAGAACAGCAAGCCTCCCACCAGGGGGACTTGTGTTAAGTTTGAAAGGTTCAGTGGCTATCAGCTACACTAATGTTTTAGTTTCACCAATTTAATTTAGTGCAGTAGTTGCATTTTTGTTTCTGTTCTTGAATCAAAAAGACATTGAAGTGGATTTAAGATGTGAATTTAGTTTTTCTTGTGTATCTGCATGTCTCCTTGGATTTCTCAATACTTGATTCCCATGCTAATAGAAGACTTGTCAGTTTCATCACTACTTAATTATGTGTTCCACTTATTTCACAACCAAACTATGGATTTATGTTGATGTTTGCACACTAGCCTTGAGGGTACTGTTTGAGAACCCCAGGAGCCCCCAAACTAAGTGGGTGGCCTAAATGTATGTTTTTTTGAATACTCACAAAATCGGTATGAATCAGTTCAGTCACCTGAAAGTTTACACACCAAACAGGCTCTAAATATATGAATATCTGCTCAACTTGAGGGGAAACCCCACAAAAACAAGCATTTTCCTAGGAACTGTCTCACTTTCTGGGGGTTTTTGGCCCAAGCATACACACAACATGTGTATGAATGGGCCCATGCATGCCATTCCCCAGTGCCCCCCCCCCCCAATCTATATGACTTTAGTCAAGATTCCGGGATTTTTGTCACCCACATTTCAAATTCCAGGGCGTTTCCAGGATGCTATTATCTTGATTTTGCTGAGTAAAAGATGGAATCAATCTATCAGCAAAGAAGAGAGTTTATGAGCAGATACCAATCTGTGAGGAAGGTACCATATAGAAATAAAAATAGACAGGTTTATGTACAATCTTCAAGGAATGATGAGACCAAGCAGGACCCCGGAAACCCCCTATAAATGTGGGTGACGAAAATGTATGAATTTTTTTGGAAATAACCAAAATGTTACTCGCAAAATCTGTATGAATGACCTTTTTTGGTAGTAAGCATACTCACCTCAGATGTATGAAATTTTTTTTGGGGGAGGGGGGGTGGTAACAAAAAATGTATGAAAGTCCTGGGTGTGCACAAGTGGTAAGTTTTTGCACCCCCCCCCCCCCTCGACAGCATGACTTGGCCTGAATTTTTGCCTCTCCCCCTCCCCCAGCCTCCCCCCTCACCAATAAAACTTCTAGTTTTATGTACTTATCTCACCTACAACAATTCAATACTTTTTTTGTTGTTTTTCTTTGTGTTGGCGTGTGCACCAACACAGATTGGCGCCCCTATAGTTAGCGAGAAAGGCTTGCTGCAAAAATGGGCTTTGAGCCTCTCAGGCGAGAAAAAAAATGGTAGGCACAAAGAATGTATGAAAATATTGGAAATCCCCTGAGCATACACACAAAACGTGTACACCACGGGTACATCTCGACGCCAACCCGCCCGGTATCTTGACGGACAAACCGACCTCCGCCAACCCAGCCAAACCTTCCTGTCTGCCGACGTCAAATTGGCAGCTTTGAAGCCAGGGGGTTGGCGTGGTCGGGGCGTTGACCCATGTCCGCCGGGCGGGATGGGGGTGGTCCGACGATAAGCTGCCGACATCCAATAATTATCTCAGGGCCGTGAGCGGTCCTGAGATTATGGATTCAAGGGCTTTTTGGTCAGCCCGCCCGCTGTCTGTGGTCAGTTGCCTGCATTGCTGTCATTCGTCCGTGAGATTTGGACTCCGCATGAACAGCTGCAGGTTCTGCCGTGAGAAGCCAAAATTTGGGCTCTCCAGCCTGCAGGCTGTGCTATGGGAATCCTGCCGAGATCAAAGAGCCGCAAAAAAATATTGTTACCCAGCGGGCTCGATCTCAGGATGGTACCCATCCTGTTCACATGCTGCTTGACCGCTTGGCCAGGCGTACTTGATGGTGGAGAAGGCCATATCGGACTTTTCATCCCAAAACTGCCATATCTGGGCCATTTTTTTTTCTCAAAGTCATTTAAAAAAAAAAAAAAAAATTCAGACCAATTTTTCTCCACTTCTCACCTCAAAAGAGAAATACTGAGGCACTTTTGAAGTGTCATAAAGGGCTGGGGACCCATCGTCAAGCCGACGACTCTGCAACGGTCATCCCAACCGCATTTTTCATGAGGTGCCCTGGCATGCCTCTTTGAGACAGCAGCGCGTTGGTTTGGCAGGACTGTCAGACCCGGTCTCCAGCGGTTGACCAAAGCTGGAGATGCAGCCCCGGTTGGATTTCCTGGCTGAAGCTTGGGTCATGCTGCCGGTGTCAGACACTGAGACACTAGCCCAGGTGTCTACAATAGAATGTAACCCCCTTGGGTTACATAACAATTATTATTATGTGTAATCTTTAAGTTAATAATTATTAAGTAATGTTATCCCTTTTTACATGTATTTTTTATGTTAATAATTATTATGTAAATTAATAAAGATTCACCTCTTTATTAATTTACCTCTTCCATGAAAATTATAATCAAGTTGAAAAGGATAATTATCTCCTGGGTGTATCCAAGAGATGATTATCCAATTTACCTCTCTTGTGTGTATGTTTATTATGTTTATCTCTCTTATGGTATTTTCTGAAATAAAGGATATTCAACACATGTACATTTATCATGCTCTGAATATCCTGACACTTTCCCCCAAGGAAAAGTGTAACAATAAGGGGACTGCACCGGTCCCAGCAGCAGAATTGACCCCTGCTCTGTAATATTTAAGAGGATGCTTCTCCCCCTGAGATTCATCCCCCAGACAATATTACCATACAAACCCAAGTGCCTTACTAGTTATACAAACAACTTAGCGAGTGGGGTTTTACAGTAAATTATTGTACTTAGTTATTACCTTTCTCTTTATCTTCTACTAGCCTTATAAGTTACATATTTAACTTATAAGACTAGTACAAAACTTCATTTCCTTATAATCCTTCAGCTCAGGCACAGTGAAGCTCATCCCACTGTTGTCCCTTAAATTTATAAGGAGCTAGCCCCTCCACTGTACCAGTGTTGAGGAGAGGCTTAAATCCACTGGCCCTCTAGGCTATAGTGTGACCCAAATCTTATCAACTCTAGGTCACGTAAGAGACCAGAGCTGACAGCCGGAGGCTTGACGGTGATGACCTTGGCAAACCGTCGATCATACATGGGTCAGGAGGGCTGTTGTCAGGAGGCCGGGTAGAGATGGTCGGTCCGCATCCGGATACCCGTTCGGATGCGGATATCCGATGGCAATTTCAGCGAAATTGCGCATCCGCATCCGCACCCGCACCCGCTAGCGGGTATCCGTCGGCCGCAGCGGGTATCCGAGCGGGTATCCTCGGATACCCGCCCTCTAAAGGGCCGGCGACGGACCGGCTGGAAGGGTTTCCTTCCAGCCGGCCATCTCCTCTCCCGGCCGCGGGTATCCTTTGGGATACCCGGATACCCGCCAGCAATTTGCGGAAAAGGGGCCATCCGCACCCGAATCCGCACCCGCTGGCGGGTATCCGTTGGCACAGGCGGGTATCCGCCAGCGGATAACGGGTATCCGCGACGGATACCCTTTGACCATCTCTAAGGCCGGGTGTCTAGATGACAGTTGATGACAGCCTGCCCCCGGGCAGTCAAAGATTGGGCGGCTGGCGGACAACCGACGGTGTGGAAAGTGGTCGGTTGACCATTCCGACCGTGCCGACAGCCTGACCGAAATGCATCAGGCGGGCCGACCTTTGGGTCAGGCCAACTGCAGTGTGACGGACAAATCAGCGCCAACTCGACCGCTTGGTCAACCTGACCCATAATTTTTGTTTGACGTTGCGTCGACGCCCCGGAGGAGCGAAAAGTGTCCTGGTGGTGTATGAATGGGTTCCAAAAATGTATGAAATTTCACAAAATATTGGATTTTTCGTCACCCACATTTGGAGGGGGTTTCCGGGGTCCTGACCAAGCAACACAGACTACACGTGTAGTAGTGCAGTCACACACAGACACTTTCTTCAACGGCGTGAACATAGATGGACTAGTGAGAGTCGATTGTATCAGGATTGGTGGAACATATGGATAGCCGTGTGGCACAAGCTACCAGCCAGAAATACGGGTGCAAGAAAGGGTATGTACACGCGATATCCAGGAAGGAAAATTGAAGATCGCACAATGATGAGTCATAAGTTAGAGAGAAGGACTTGAGTTCGTGACGACATGTGGCCGGGACAAATCAAAAGAAAAATGAGTGTGTGGCGAACATGACTCGACGCCAGAGATGATTATCCTCAGCCATGGTAGTGCTAGCCCCAGATCGACAACATCAACTGGAAGAGATAAAAACAATAGTTAAACCGAGTTCCCTTGCATACTTCGATTGCATACATGCTTACACTCTGCAGAAACAGCGAGAATGACAACATGACAGTTGTGCACGTTATCAGGTCGATGAGCCTGGCTTGCCACTGTGTTCTGTTTTTTTTTTTGGGTACAAATTAACGTTCTATATCCACACATTTTTTCAGTTATGTGCCTTCAGATCAAAAATTTACGCACTCCTGAATCAAGGTTTTCATCTTGATTGCAAAAAGCACACTGGTCGTAAAATTCAACCCTAGAACTATAGCCATAATTCCGCAACTGATGTATATAAAATCTGTTTTCATGATCAGATGTTTTCAATTATTAGCGAGGTGGAGTTCTTCTTATATTAGTGCTATCTAAGCTCAAGAAAAGTGAAATAACTGACAATAGCTTCTCTGCAACCTTGTCAAGGAAAGGTAATTTTTGAAAATGTATCCTGATAAGTTTGATTTAGATTCACAATCACGCGTTTTACTTGCAGTGCTTGAGTTGAGAGATTCTTTTGATTTTTCTTGAGGGTCTGGTTTCTGGTAAACTGATTGACACCTACCAGCCATCAGTAATGAGTTTTTTAATAATTTGACAGTCGCGATTGTGGTGGAAATGTAAAACTATTCAAAAAGAAAATAGGAAACATGTATTAGTAAGACTAGAGCAAACCGATGATTTCTTGTTGGTCTGAAAGTACCGCAATCATGGTTATCGACACGGTGGCCCAACCCAAGGCCTCCGCCTGAGCCATGCTAATGAGTCGATTTGTTTTTTCAGAAAGTGTGATAAAGATGTCGAAGAGAATTCTGTTGTTTTCAAGAGACGTTGGATCATTAGGCTTCCATCCGACGGAAAGTTGATTGAGCCTTAATGTCACGAGTTCATAGGTATTGATCACTTGTTTGATCTCGATAAACATAGCGATACCAACAAATAGAAAATATCCTGCGATCAAGACCGGGATTGATATACAGATCGTGTTCATAACTAGGGGATGCTGGATGATATTTTTCTTGTGAGGAGAACGCCCGCTGTTTGCTTGTCCGGGTGCCAGATAGCTATGTTGAGCATATAAATTAGTTGAAACAAGTTGGTTTTTGGAGAAAAAAGATTGGTTCATTAAACATTCATTTGTGCTTTTGGATACAAGGGCTATAAAACCTTACACCACGTAAAATGCGCCCCAACCGCTTAACCAGAACGCAGTGGATCCTAAGTGATGGTAGTAACATGTTAAAGAGAAGGATGGAGCGATAACAGTATAAAGAACAACTACCAACGTACCTGGTACCAGAGCTACTGCATGCCAAAACACGACACCAGCGTGAACAACATCTGGAGTGCTTTGAGGGTACTTGACAGTCCAGTAAACGCCGAAAACAAACAGCAGATAACAAACACAACCACAGATTTGCAAGGGCTCAATGACAAAATTCCCATTGGGCACTAAGTATGGAATCGGCTGGTCGGCCACGTGATGTTTTCGCCAGAGCCATATTTTCTGGCGTTCCCCATTTTGACGTCTGAGGACCTTCAAGATAAGAGTTACTGCGGCGACGACTAGCAGAATAATATGGACGACGCCCAATATGATGGCAAATCTTGGGAGATCGGGGTGAATGAGCTTCTTTTGCTGATCAAAAATAGCCTGTAAGATGAGTGGGTAAGGATCGAATGTCATTGACATAGAGTTAACGAGGGAAAGCCCTTGCGATAGCTGATCTGCCGACATGCTGAATCGAGCAATAGCTAGAGGGAACAAATAAAATGATATAAAACTGAAAGTGATGAGGGCAAAGGCAGTTGTTCAAACAAACCGCGGACCGGGATGGGTAAATGTTGGAAAACTCAAACTCAGGCTTAATTACAACATACAGGTCAAATCCAGGTATCTTTCTGGTTAAAAGAATGATTGACAAGAATTGATGCAAGGCTACATCTTTCCGCTCGGTCTCTTCCGCTTGTGGAGGATCACTAATTTCCTTCCATCCACAAGACGCTGTTCCTGTACACGGGGGCAAGCTAGACATTATTCATTTTAGCACTGTGAGCATTGTACCAAATCCGAAAAGGAACAAGCATGTGCAGATGGTGATTATGGGGTGTCGGCAGCGTCCGATACAGCATGAGATAAACTCACATTTCTCGAAAGCACCCGGGCTCCCAAGAGCATTGCTCGCTGCCGGATGGAACCATTAATATGTATCTAGTCGGAGTATCCATCTGTTGAGGGCACAAGACAGCACACCTCCTACAGGCAGTACCATTTTCTGAATCGGTATGAACACAAAAAAAAAACAATGAAGAGAATGCGAAAAAAACACCTCAAGTCAGCTATGACACAACACCATAGACTAGGATGACCTCAATCAAGCAATGGATACAATCAATCCACAACAGTGCAAGCCTATCAGCAGAATTCTCAATTGTGCGTTAAACTTGCAATTTTTAACAGCTACCAGGAATGATTGAAATCACTAGTACAAGTTCACTTGATTTCTGAAAAAGAACTACTTGTATTTAATCAAATTATGTCCAAAGAATTGGAACCATTGGTCATTTAATTTCTTTTTCTGCGTTTGAAATGGTCCAGTAAGAAACAAGACACAGATTTAATGATTCATCTCAAGAATTATCTTGATCAAAGCTGTGTTTTGGTGGCAACAAATCTCTTTACTATATATATCATAGATTGGCCCTGCGCTTGCATGCATGGTAGGAAATTGACCGGAAACAAAAAGCTTGGGTGGATGAGCTTAAGCTTGATCTTGAGGTATTTACGTCTTTTTTTGTCGCATCTCTCATTCCTTTTCTTATCCATATTGCATTGAACTTTTGCGTTAATGGGACAGTCTTCCATTCCATCAGGGTTTATTATCACCCACATTTATTTATATGTGTATGTGTACCCTTGTGAAGTTTTGATATCCGATGCTTTCAAGAGATTTACATCAGAAGAGCCGAGTGATGATTACCCAACCCGGGGACCAAAGTGTGTATTTATTTATGTTTGTCCCCAGTGGATCAGTTGCGGATCTTCTGGAGGGGGGATGATTTTAACAGTCACGAGCTGGTTCCTGGTTATGATCCTACTATGTAAGACATTGGCAAGTTTCTCATCATTAACAGAGATGGACGATCGATGGTCTCCGGAGTGGGGCGGTTCGGACTGCGAGGCTGTCGAGAATATGCTTATATTCAAGCATCCAAGGGGGGAGGTGCCACTGTTAAGGTAAAGAAAGTACCACTCGAGCGCTTCTCCTGTACTTCCCTATCAAGTGGTCTGACTGCTACTCGACCATTTCCTTCAGAGATCGATCACGAACCGATGGATGGTCGCAAGGGTACTCCAACTCCGCTCAAATGTAAGCCCATCATCAACATCTTGCACTCCACCAATTATGAATCAATCCGTCCTTATTCATCTTCCTTGCTGACCACTTGTCGTTTTATTAGCCTTGCCATTTGGCTACACATTCACAGCCGGTAAGAGACTGTTTCCTCCTTTCTTTTCATCATACCTGGTCAACATGGGTTATTAACCCTTCCTCCTCTTTCTTCATTTCAGGAGCGATCGCGGGTGTGACGGAACTATTATGTCTTTATCCCCTTGGTCAGTACCTTGGTCCCTTTATTCGAAGACGAAGGGAAAAAAAAGATACATACCATGAGCCCTTGCTGATTTCATTGCTTGTGATCATCTTTTCAGATGTCGTCAGTCTCGCTCGATATTACTCAACCAAAACCCCCCTACCCCCACTGTGATCATTAATCCATCGATCAAAAACTACAGGTCAAGACGAGAATCCAGCTGCAAGGAAAGGTGGCTATTCCCGGGCAGGATAGCTATACTGGGATGGTTGACTGTTTTCAAGTTCAGTTTGGGCTGCTATTTGTCAAATAGAAGCCGCTATTTGTTCACCACAAAGTACACATTTTTATTGATTTCGATTTGAACGTATTTCGAATTCAGAAAATCATCAAGACTGAAGGGTGAGTAGACCCACCTTCTCCCGATTTATTTACTCCTTCATAAAACATTCAATCATTTCTTCAATTTGCTCAATCTGTATGTGTGACGTCATGGTCAAAGATTCGGCCGGCTATACCGAGGCTTGGTTCCACCTTTAATGCTCGAAGCGCCCAAACGAGCCGTCAAATTCGCAGCGAACGACTTTTGGGTAAGCGAAGAAGTCAAGCGTCTACTCGAACAAAAATGCAGACCCATGAGAAGAGACTGACTAAGTGCTCCTTGTTTGATTGGATCATTCAATCTAATATTCCTGCTTTCATTTGGATTTTTTTTTTAAAAAAAAAGGCTACGACCTATAAACAATTGACTGGTTCAGATAAATTGACTCAGAACTTATCGTTGTTGACTGGAATGAGCGCCGGCGCAACAGAGTCGATCGTCGTTGTTCCCTTCGAATTGGTCAAGATCAGGCTTCAGGATAGAGTTTGTTTCACAAAAAAAAATTGAAACGGAGCAGATAAACAGGACGTTGGTGACCATTTTTTCCTGATCAAATCTTTTTGTTTTTTTTTTTGGATTTATTTCCCATTCAGAATTCAAGCTACAAGGGCCCAATAGACGTAGTCCTGAAAACGGTCAAATCGCAAGGAATTTTGGGCTTGTACGGCGGCTTGGAGTCTACCTTTTGGCGGTACGTTTGGTTTATAATTCTTCTTCAACCCCTACCCAACGAAAAAGGAGGAAATGGAAACAACTGATTTCTGACTTCTTTTCCCCCGCTTTTATTTCCTGTAGTCATGTGTTTGTCCTTCTTTTTCTTTTTGAAAGAGATTGTTTGGTCGACTCTTATACTGATTGGACACAACACATCCGAAATATTGGAATATGATCGGCCCCATTTTTCTTATCAAAATCAGTTGGTGGAATGGTGGTTATTTTGGTAAGCAAAATTGAGCATGACCGGTAAACCAATTTATGCAATCTTATCACAGCTGAGAGATCAATACATTTCCCAGCTTCTATCTTCAAAATCAGAGCGATGATGCCTAAAGCCGACGTAAGAAGACATCGCTCACACACAAACAAAAAGTTGCAAATTCAATTGATCTTCTAACAATATCACCATATTGTGACTGTTGCACATATAGTCTAAGACTCGAGAAGTGGTAAACAACTTTATATCCGGATCAATTGGGGGATGTTTGGGAACCATGGTCAATACCCCATGTAAGTTGTTTTTAGTTCATACATACATAGTAGCCAGTAGAGCAACAAACAGAACATGAGCCCCAAGAATAACCCAGAATTCCTTTTTTACCGTTTCTTTCACACAAATCGGCCAAACCCGATAGTCGATGTGGTCAAATCTAGGATTCAAAACACAGTCGTCTTGCCCGGTGAGAAACCCAAATACGGGTGGACATATCCCGCGATAGTGACGATTGCAAAGGAGGAAGGTCTGGGGGCGCTCTACAAGGGATTCATTCCCAAGGTTCGTTTTACTCCCAAGTCGGCTTTATGCGAGTTGACTAAGTGATACTAAGCCTCACCGATTTGGTCCTTCTTCAACCGGTCTTCATAGGTCTTGAGGTTAGCCCCAGGAGGTGGTGTGTTGTTAGTAGTCGTTGAGGTTGTGACAGGATACTTCAGGAAACAGCTCGGCCCACCTTACTCTGCCTGAAATGGCGCATTGGCAAGTAAAGGGAATCGGTGCATATATCCATTGATCATGTTATTGAAGCTTGCTTGAAAAATGTGTATCGTTCTTGGCATCTAGTTTATCTTCTTCCTGCTCCTCCTCCTTGATTCCTCTCCACAAAAAACTCCCTTAGAATTCTAACCTCCTTGCTATTGTGCTACCTGAAAACTGTACAGTGGGATTCGAATCCTTCGTAAAAAAGCAATGAATGAATCAATTGGTTATGGAACTGATCTGTGGACAGGGTTTCCTTATTTGCCCGGAGGATAGCCCTTGTTCACAATTCTTAAATCAGCAAATGAGGATCCCCCTCTTGAAAAGCAGAGTAAATATCGGTCGACAAATGACTAGTTTGTCGCAGTCTCGTTGACTTTTCTCAAATTGGGAAGGAGCAGCTGGTCAAACGCTGGGTACGCCTTCCCTCACACCCAAACATACCCATTCTCAACGAGGAAATTGATTTAGACAAGCATTGCACAGGCGAGTAGGAAAGAAGATTGATTTGCGAAGATTTTTGATTAGGGAAAATAGCTCAGATAGTATACACAACAGCACAACGAATCAAAAGAGTAATATTTATCCAAACGCCTTGATAATAAAGCGTTTTACCAGATGTCCATGCCGCCGGAAAGTTCTTATTCAGGCTGAGAAGAAATCGTTTAATCTTTCTATACCTGTTGCGGAATCCTAAATCAAGATCCGAGATCAAGTTCCAGTTAGGGGAGGAAAAGCATTGGATTCTCAGTTAGACAAGAGAAATTGAACTGATGGAAAAGATGTGTCCAACATACCAGAATGGCGAAACAAGACAGTCTCCGCACGTTGAATTTACTGATCAATGGTGGATTCAATCCGACGGGGAATCCGACCAATCGGATGGATTTCCGGGTGTTCATGGATTGCTGTTGGCCATCCAAGTCATGCAAAGCTTGGTTGATTTCGTGGACAAAAGTCGAGAGTAAGTTGATGATCGGGAGATGTTGGTGGTGCTTGAAGACAACAATGAATTTGATGGTTTGTAAATCTCTTAGGATCTTTGTGATTTCCTCGTTTTCGATGCGGTTCATTTCGATTGTCTTGTCATTCTTGAGCTTTGCGTCGCCCCGCTCATGCTCTTCTTCTTCATCTTCTGGTCGATTACTCCGGGAACTTAGTTCGCCAAGTTGGACTAAAATCAATCTCAAATTCTCCAGATATCTTAATGTCGAATTGAGTCCCAATATGAAATCGGGATTGGCCTTATACTTCAGATAATTAGAATTATTTTTTTCGATGAATTTGAGTACTTTGTTTGACGGGCCAGTAGTTGATGAAGTTGCATTATCGGAGGGTATTCGAGCATCAGAGGAAGATGGATCTTGGCGAACATTCCCTTCCCCTTTTGAGGTCTTGATTCCCCTGTTCCTTGATTTCGTGACGGGTGATGGAGGTGAATCGATTATTTCGAATAGAGTATTCAGACAGTCTTCGTTTTTCTTTTCGGCGTTCTGTGAACTTGAGGATGGGGGTTTCCATGGATGTGAGCAAGAAAACCAGGTGTCAGTATCCAATTGTTGTGTGTTCTATCATACATCTTGGTCAAGCACTGTTGCCCGATAAAACAAAAGATGGTCGAGCGAATTGAGATGGAAGACGAACCAATCAAACCAATCGATTTCCGTCTGAACAGGGCCAGGTAACGAGCAGACGGCAGGAGGACGACATTGTTGAGACGAAAGTTTCTTTTGATCGGAGCGAATCGATTGGTTGGGCAACAATTTCCGAGCCAATTTGTCCTGCTTGGCGCTCTTGTTTGAGATCATCCTGATTGGAGTTGTTTCCTGAGACACTCACATCCGGAGACTGTTCCTTTTAGAATATGAGAATCGACGACGCAGAATCGAAGAAGAACGTGTTGAGCTTGACTTGGGACTTGGCTTGGACACTGCTGCTACCCCCGGCGCATTTCCCGACAGGAGCGGGCGGGCGAGCCACGGGGCCCACTGAGATCGGCACGTCGACGCAAGCCGGGCTCGGCACGCTTCCCGCCGCCCTCCTCAACCCATCCGGGTATGGGCTTCTCCCGCGCCTGATCCTCTCCCCTGACCGAGCTGGCATGCCTCTAGTACGGTACAATGCAACCTTGGGAGCGCCGCACATGCCGGAAGCCTCACCTTCCAGCCGCTTACTGGGGATGACTCCTTCTCGGCGACGAGTCTAACTGACACGTTGCGCTTGAGAAGGGAGGCGAAACACTCTCCTAGTCAACCCATCCGCGGCCAAAACTGATTGCGTGGATTGCCTTAGTCCTCCAGCATTTTCCGTTCAGGTGTAAGGGACAGATCTAATCGAAAGCGAGAGACTTGGGCGCCAGGTGTTATATCTTGACCTTGCTGGACTCCCATGTTGAGGCACGACGATGGAGCATGTATTCGGCTACGGACCCGCCCCTGCCTCCCGAATGTACCTCACATGTTGTATCCGAAAAGCTCCGGTCTTATGAGGTCTTTATGTACACTACGAACTCGAAATCTGAATCCTGATCTTGTCTAGTGCACGTTCAGACTTCAAAGACAAAGCAAAGCACATTCGGGTTTTCTCTCTTTGGTTCGTCTACTGAGTCACCCCTGACCACTTTGCTGCATTTCCTTTTTACGTGCTGGATCACTGGATTTGCGTGTATTTTATAGATAATAAAAGAATGACGTAAAAGCTTCCTTGGAATGATTGATGTAACAAGCATATAAAGAGGCATTTGGCCGAAAGTGTGCCCACTCCCTTTCAACAATCGCCATCTTCAAGATTCATGAAAGAGATTCCAACATTGGATTGCTCAGTTGAAGCTGGATTTTTTTTTTTTCCTTCACCATGCACACACATGGCCACACCAAGGGAAGCAGTCAGCGTGACTTGCTTATACGCTTCTTTGGAACTCATATTGAACTACACACCTCTTTACATAAATATACAAGCATTGGATCGATATATAGAAATTAAGGCCAGTCCACGGGATCTCTCCAGAGACATTTTTAAATCTTAACGCCTCAATGGGCGCGCACTTCACCAAACGTTGCACGCATGCAGGACCAAAAAAAAGTGCTGAGCCAGAACGTAGAAAAAAAAAACCGAACTCAGCAGGACTATCATGTCATTCCACCAGCTAGTGGCATCATCCAACTAGCTTTCTTTAAGTCGACCCTCGTGGTCTGCCGATGTACGTAAACTGTCGACGATAAGAGCTTTTTTTCCTTGTTCGAGCTGCGGTCGAAAGTTGAAACCTCTGACTAGCATGGCGGCAATCTTTAGACATCAAAGCGAGAGTTGTAGAAACTCCTCTATCTCCCAGATTGCCTCATCTTGCATATCTGCTCTGCTGCTACTTGTCTCCACTTATCTGGAGGTAGCTTGTCATCACCGCGGCCGGCCAAACTGGGTCCCTCTTCAAAAGCGTACATCTCTTGAGCTATTCCTGGCGCCCATTCCTTCCCGTTAGTTTACTACCGCCTCAATCATCCTTTTCTAGAAAAGAGAAGTAGCGGAATAACCAAGTTCTTCTTATAAAGGATCGTTTATAATGAACAAAAAACTTCCTTGGGGGCTTCATTGGCGCTCTTCCAAATACTTTATTTTGATTGTGGTTATCATCAGGTAAATGTGCCGGAACCAGAAATCCTGATGATTTAAAAACAAATGTTTGAATAAATAACTGATCTGAGTATTTCTTTTTTTGATATGTTCCATGGTAACCGTTATTGTGGAATCCAGTCTGTTTCTGGGTGAGTTTCGTATTTTTGGGTCTCTGAAGAAGAAGAATATGAGCAAAAAAAGTTTTACAAGCATCTGAAAATTTCCACATGAAGGGGGGGAGTATGTCTTACTACTCAGCTACTTACTTGATGACTTGAATATCCCACAGATTTATTTCTTTATGGCCTCATTGTACCCGTGCTCCCATTTATCCTGAAGGATAGACTTCATTTGCCGGCAGACCGCCTCCAGATATCAGCAAGTATCTTATTGGCCTCGCATGCGGTTGCCACTTTCTTTACTGCGCCACTCATCGGCCTTTCCATCGATGGCTCCATGTCACGAAGGCATGGATTCTTACTTGGACTGGTCGTCACTCTTGGTGTCAGTATCTTGCGCCTTCACGGTTAAATATGACAATTGACCCCTTGGTTTTGGTCTCGGCCATTTTTCCTGCAGGCCACCGTGTTTCTCTGTTTTGGTAATAGTTTGTGGCAGTTGATCATCGCGCGATTGCTCCAAGGGGCCAGTGCAGGTAAGCAAGTTCAAGACATAATGATGAACATGAGTTGGTGAATAATGGTGTATTCACTTCTGCAATCAAGCCATCGTCTGGATTGTTGGTTTGGCCATCGTTACTGATACTGTGCCACAGGATCATCTGGGAAAAGCCTTGGTAAGTTTCGATTCGCATTCAAAATGTGCTCAAAACGAGAAAAGGACAGTGGGCTTAAATCAGGCTTCGTGATCAGGGTACCGTGTATAGTGCCACAACGCTAGGTGCATTGTTGTCTCCAACTATTGGTGGTTTGGTCTACACCAAATTCGGTTACTACTCGGTTTATTATCTCGCGGGAGCACTTCTATCAGTGGACATTGTGCTCCGGATGATCGTGATTGACAAAGAAGAAGCCATCACATTCGTCGACTGCGCAGCGGCAGGTCCTCAACTTGCGCCAATGGAGACGGGTGAACGCTCGCTCTTGCTCGGCCCAGCCGAAACCTGCCGGCCGGATGAACCGCCACGGCTCATGCAGCATGATGAAGAAGAACGGCACCAGACTTCGAAGTCTGGTGCCGTTCGATTCGGCTCGCCAAAACACTGCTGTCCAATCATCACCATCCTCCCCGACCCGCGATTGCTCGCCGCAACCTTCGTCACGTTCACTCACGCCTGTCTCGTCGGAATGTTCAATGCAACTCTGCCGATTCATGTGCAGAAAGTATTCGGAATGTCTTCGCTAGAATCCGGGTTATTGTTCATAGCCATAGAGCTACCTTATGTCTTCTGCGGCCCTGCGATTGGATGGTATGTGGACTACGCCGGACCGCGAGGCCCTGCCAGTCTGGGCTCGCTTCTATTAGTCCCGTCGATTTTCCTCCTCCGCTTTCCCAAAATCATGCAGGACCTTCCGTTCTTGATTTTCCTTTTGGCTCTCAGCGGCACGGGTCTTTCGGCGGCCAGCTCGTCGGCGTTTGTCCAAGCCAACAAGATCGGCCGAGAACGGCATGTGGAGAACCCGATTCTGTTTGGGAGCAAAGGACCCTACGGACAGCTCTACGCCCTCAACAACATCTTGTACAGTTTGGGTATGACTGTCGGACCCTTAGTAGCTGGCGCCCTCAGCAATTGCTTCGGCTATGGGAACGCTATGGCCGTCATGGCTCTTCAGGCGCTTTTGGCCGCTATCATCTCACGCACATGGATGGAAAGATAAATTTGGGAGGACTGTTTTCAATTCCACTTGTCAAAATTCGGCTGCCCTATCGTTCTTCAACTTGCTCCGGAAATGCACTCGCCACTTGGGCGGTAACAGATCAGGCTTTTATTTATTTATAATTTTCGAGGATGAAGAATCAGTTTTCGATAAGTGTTTTGGAGGATCTTCAGATCTGTGATAAAGTGTTTAGATTTACTTGCGTATGTGGAAGGAATCTCGTTTTCGCCAAGATGTAGAGACTCTTCGAGCTCCAGGCCTACTTTGAATCGTCGTACTTTCTTCAAGATGCAGAGACTCCTTCAGCTCTAGTGTCAATTCAAATTGCACGATCCCTTGTGTCCTTACCTCAGCTGCTCGGGGGGGTCCCTTGGAGACAATAGATGAACCAATTGTTTTAGCGGTATTTGACGTGCGTGTGTGTGTGTGGGTAATTAGATAATGTTTAAAAACAAATGAGTAAAAAAATCATCATTGTTCAACAGAGGGGTCTTCCAGCTTGGCACAGTGCCGGGGGGCGTTTTCGCTTCAGCAAGTGAGGTGGGGCTGGCTGTTGCGTAGTACCGCTGCACTGCGCTACAATGACCGCCCTCGGTAGGGAGGACTGTTATGGATTGAAGTGTGCGGAAAGTCTCGGAAGTCACACCGACGGCCGCCGGCAATAAATACCTCCCGCAATAAAACAAACCAATGTGTTTGGGTGGGATCGGTAAGATTCGGGCCGGTGTGGAATTTCTCCATCGGGCTGCATTTCTTGGTTTATATTGCAGTTGATCACCGCTTTGAATAATTCATCTCGTCCTTCTGTTTCACTTAGCTTGACCGCAAGAGAGTGGACGCTGAGGTCAAGATAGGAGAAAACCCAGAACTACTTTACATCGAGGGACAACACCTTGTTTTTTGAATATGCATTTGAACTTTGCTTTGTGCGATGAAGAGATAAAAACACAAGAGATAAATGATAAGTGTTGTACGCTGCATTTCCCTCTACAATCGGATGATTTAGTTTCAGCTCCAAGTATCTTCCTGTAATTTCCCCAGAGCTTCCAACCTCTCAATGAACTCGTCCGCCCCAGTCTGATCCAACCCGCCTTGACCAACACAAACCTTTTTCAATGCCGATCGAACGCCCTTAGGCATCTCACCTGCAGATCTACAATCATTTAATTTCACATCAAATTAGTTAGCGTTTGTCATTTTTTTGCAGATATATGAAATGGGAAGAGAAAAGATGTGAGGTGACATGATGGAAAGACTGACCCAGAGATGAAGATTGACGCATTACGAACGGCCATATATTCCCACACCAACGCAGAGTTTTCGACGATCAAATCCTGAACATACCGTTTATTCTCCTTTTTTTTGGTTTGGAATGGTATTGAAACAGAGAGAAAGTTGAAAACGTGTGAGTAACCAAAGTGAGAGATTGAGAAGTGTAAGAAAACAAAGAAAAAGAAAAGCAAATATGAACCTGATCTCTAGAAGCGGCCCAAAAAAAGTTACAGATCTGCAGATCGACGAACTGAGTCCACTGCTCGCGATAATAGAAGTCGGAATCCTGAGCGCGACAGCCGAAGAAGACCAGCGCGTTAGGCCGAGATGATACGTCAGAAATATGATGGGTCGATCGATCTTGAATGAGTGCTCGGAAGGGAGCGATCCCCGTGCCAGGTCCGATACAGATCACCGGCTGGCTTGGGTCTTGCGGAAACGTCACATATCCTCCACTGATCCCAATGTGAATTCGAGTCCCTAGAAGAAAAACAAAATCGATTTCGGGGCAATCAATTATTCGCCTTGGTGGAGATTCTTAATTGAAGATTGGACAAACACATAAAGAGTCTACGTACCAATCTCAAGTTTCGATAAATAGCTCGTACACAATCCTTTCCGAGGTACAGAGAGTCTTGTTTTGTAGTTGACTACGGCCACCAACAACTGGATCTGATTAGGAAAGAGCTAGATGAACCGAATCGAGTCGAATTAGTAAAGTGAGGAAGGTAAGAAAAAGGGGGAATCAAGAGAGAAAAGGGTCAAGAATGGATTCTGACCTTGGGGGAAGAGGCAATCGAGAATTGTCTAGGCCGGATTTGAGGGAAGACGTCGTGGATGTAATCAAGAGGGATAGTGGCTGATTTGAATTCGGACAGGACTTCGAGGATGGTCCGTCTAGGACGTTTAGTGTATTCGAATAAGTCATCCTAGATCAGAAGAAGGAAGAGGCGTGTGGTAGTATATAGATTCAGGACAGATCGAATTCCGCTGATGAGACGGAGGTATAAGAGCGCCTGACCTGTCCTTCTATTGAGCAAAACTCTTGCAATCGTTCGGTTTCCATGGGATCGCTAGTGAAATGGGATAGCCAATCAATAAACGATCTACCTGGTACGGCCATGAAATCTAAGCGACTCGTGAAAATTTCTCTAAGAGTGGCGTATTCGGTCCATCCGGCTGGTAAATCTTGTTGATCTACCAAGTTATATGTGAGAATTTTGAGTACTATTATTATTGGGTTGAGTGTAAATTGATGACTGACTTGAATCATAATATGAGAGCTTGTAGACTTGGTCAGATAAATCAGTCCATTTCATCAATTTAAATAATTTCTCAACGTCCTCTGCACAGTTTTCGGGTAAGATTTCGGCCACTGATCCAGGCTGGAACCTGAAAGAAAGAAGAAACAAAAATGAATCCAGAAATCATTGAATTAATCTAATGTTTGATAGTACCACTGACTCTAGGGTCTGATCGAATTCGAATTCGAGATGCCGAGTATCTTGCCAATGATCTGGTGCAGTTATTCGTTGGTTTTTGGTGAGGATGGCGGGAATAGATTGATTTGATTTAGGAATAGTTTCGAGAAGGGGCGTTGGAGTGGTAGTAGTAGGTTCGAGTCGGAAGGAGGGTGGTAGACAGGTAGCAGGTGGGATTGGAGTGAGATGTTCTGGTAGTGGTTTGATCTCAATCAGTTTCTTCCATAGTCCTTCTAGCCATGGTAGGAGTGTGGAATCGATTCTGATTTCAGAAGTTCAGAAAATGACAGGTGCAGTGGAAGATTAGTGAGACTCAGCACGAGGATGATTGAGGGAGACAGACCCGTTAGGATTTTGATCATCTGCCTCACCACGCTCGTAAAAGACTTGAGCCCCGATCTGAGTGAGTCTTCTGAATAGTTTCTTGGCGGCCCAGTTGAATTTAGGGTAACTTGAATCCCCTAATCCAAAGAGGGCGAATCTGATGTTATCGATGAAGTCGTTGGGTAGGCTAGCTAGTTTGAGTGCGTTCCAAAACTTGTTCATGTTCTGTGGCTGGACTCCTTGTCCGGTTGTTGAGCAGACGAAGATCACCAGGTCCTCGTCGAAGATCTTATCTCGTTCGTAGTCATCCATGGAAGTGGTCTCGGTCTTGAAGTGTAGCCTTCGTGCGCCCCTTGCGATCTGTTGTGCGACATCCTCTGCTGTTCCGGTTTGACTTGCGTAGAGTATCAGTAGTCGTCTTCTGTCGTCACTGCTTGGTCCTTGTTCCATCTTGCTGTTGCTGTTGTTGTTGTTGTTGTGGTGGTGGTGGTTGTTTTGGCAGTGGTGGTGTTGCTACTAAGTCAAGCAGTGGATATGCAAAGTGGTGTTTTATTCAATATGAGTTTATTCAATTTGAATTTCCAACAAGCAGCACAGCACAATCAGCACCATCAACTGGAAGAAACAACAACAACAACACAATATGCCACCCAAACGAGTATTCAAACCAATCAGACCCAACAACAACAACAACAACAACAACAACAACAGCACCAGCAACACTGCAGCACCAGCACCAGAAAACCATCATCAAAATGACCAACCACCACCACCGATCCTATTAGAAGAACTAGAGAGCCTACTCAATCAATCTACTACCAACTCATCAGAACAACACCTTGATACCAAGCCAGACATCTCCCAAATCGATCACCAAAATATCAGCCAACCCAAACCTGCACCACTCTTCAGACCTTTATCACCCGAACCAGCCCCACTACCTCAGAAGAAGAATATACAACCACCCAATATTCATCAGCAGCAGCAGCATCAGCAGCATCCAAAGAAATCATCAAAGAACTATCCTAAGAAAACTCACCAAAACCAATCCAACGTCGATAACGAGCTATGGCTATCTAAAAATCTCACCGATCCAGTCAAAACAGTCGAGGTAAGAACCCCCCCCCCCCCCCCCCCCCCCTTGAAACCACGAATTCCCATCTTACATTTTGAACTAATAATTCATGACCCATTCCTCAAAGGACAAATGGCAACTCCTACCAGCATTTTTTAAAGGAAAAAGATTGGGCAAACAACACCTCGACCTCTTCAACTATTTCGGCGATGTCGACCTCCAAAGCATTCTCAGGGCCAACGCCACCGTAATCTCAGACGTTGATCCAAACTTCCATCTATCCTATCTAGACATTAACGTTGGTGAACCATCAAGATTAGATACCGGATCAGCCACCAACAAACGGATCACCCCACACGAATGTCGATTACGTGACATCACCTACTCTGCCCCGATCTCAGTCACGATTCAATACACCAAGGGTAACAAACGAGTCCTATCCAAAGGTATCCCGATCGGAAGGATCCCGATCATGTTACGTAGTAATAAATGCGTACTCACCGGGAAATCTGACGCCGAACTCGCCAAGATGACCGAATGCCCATTAGACCCAGGTGGCTACTTCGTCGTCAAAGGCACCGAGAAAGTCATCCTGGTACAAGAACAATTGAGTAAGAACAGAATCCTCATCGAAACTGACTCTCGAAAAGGCACGATCATGGCTAGCGTCACAAGGTCAATTCCCTCTGCCCTATCTTATTGATTTTGATAATTAATCCGCAATCAATTCCCTGTTTGACTCAGTTCAACTCACGAGAGGAAATCGAAGACGTATGTAGTCACCAAAAACTCAAAAGTTTACTTGAAGCACAACTCAATTCAGGAAGAAATTCCGATCGCAATAGCCCTCAAGGCATACGGGATCACCTCAGACCGAGAGGTAGTCCAAATAGTCTGCGGGAACAATGATGATTACCGAGCCGCGTTCTCCATCTGCATGGAACATTGTCACGAGGCCGGAGTCTTCACCCAGAAGCAAGCACTAGCATATATCGGCAAGAGCGTCAAGATGGTTAAGAAGGGCCCCGTGGCCGGCCCCAAGAGACCACTCACCGAAGAGGCCCTCGAGGTCCTCTCAACCGTCGTCCTGGCTCACGTCCCTGCTGATAACCTCAACTTGCAACCCAAGGCTATCTACTTGGCCGTCATGGCAAGACGAGTCGTCCAAGCTATGGCTAATCCGAAGTTGGTTGATGATCGAGATTATGTGGGTAACAAACGTCTAGAATTGTGAGCTTTTTCATTTAGTAGCAAACAAACCAAAATTAATATTCTAATGAGAGAAATGGGATTTTTTTTAAAGGGCTGGTCAATTATTATCGTTATTATTTGAAGATTTGTTCAAGAAATTCAATACGGATCTCAAATTGAACATCGATAAAGTATTAAAGAAACCGAATCGGACAACGGAATTTGATGCAATCAATCAATTCAGGATGCATGCAGACCACATATCGAATGGATTTATCAGAGCGATTTCGACCGGAAATTGGTCGATCAAACGGTTCAAGATGGAGCGAGCAGGAATCACGCATGTATTGAGTCGATTGAGTTACATCTCTGCCCTAGGAATGATGACCAGAATCTCGAGTCAGTTTGAGAAAACGCGCAAGGTTAGTGGTCCTCGAGCCCTTCAACCAAGTCAATGGGGGATGTTATGTCCCAGTGACACACCCGAAGGAGAGGCTTGTGGGCTTGTCAAGAACCTGGCACTCATGACTCATATTACCACCGACACAGATGAGGAACCAATCTGGAATGTCGCCTATACGATTGGCTGCGAAGATATCAGTAGCGTCACCGGCACTGAACTCTACCTGCCCCGTCATTATATCGTCTTCATTAATGGTAACATCTTGGGTCTCACCAGATCTCCCGAACGATTCGTCGAAGTTTTTAGGCAGTTCAGACGGGCTGGTAAGATCTCCGAGTTCGTCAGTATCTACATGAACGCCGATCAACAAACCGTGAATATCGCGACCGATGGGGGAAGGATCTGTCGGCCGATGATCATCGTCACCAATGGAGACTCGATGGTCAAGACTCATCACATCGAGAAACTCAAGGCTGGGGAGCTGAGCTTTGACGATTTTCTGTCCCAAGGATTGATCGAATATCTGGACTGTAACGAGGAGAACGACTCGTTTATTGCGCTCTATGAAGAGGATATCGACAGTTATACCACCCATCTCGAAATCGAACCTTTCACCTTACTTGGTGCCGTTGCAGGCTTGATTCCATATCCTCATCACAACCAGTCGCCACGTAACACCTACCAATGTGCTATGGGTAAACAAGCGATTGGAGTGATTGCATACAACCAGTTACACCGGATCGACACCTTACTCTATCTGATGGTCTATCCACATCATCCGATGGTCAGGACCAAGACGATCGAGTTGGTCGGATATGACAAGTTACCGGCCGGACAGAATGCGACGGTGGCGGTGATGTCTTATTCGGGATACGATATCGAAGATGCGCTGATCCTGAACAAGGCATCCTTAGATCGAGGCTTTGGGAGATGCCAGGTGTTCCGGAAGGCCACGGCGATGATCAAGCGGTACCCGAACGGGACGTACGATCGGATCGCCGACCCTCCTCGGGATCCGGAGGGACAAGTACTCGAGAAGTGGAAGCCCTGCGACGACGGCGGGGTGGCCGACGTGGGCATGAAGGTCTACAACGGAAACGTATATATCAACAAACAGTCGCCCTCCAACGCGAACGATAACTCTGTTGGGGCCGGGGCGGCAACGGTGACCTCGTGGGCCAATACGCCGATGACCTACCGAGGCACGGTGCCGAGCTACATCGACAAGGTCATGGTTACCGACACCGAGAGTGACCAGACGTTGGTCAAAGTCTTACTGAGACAGACTCGCCGGCCCGAGCTTGGGGACAAGTTCTCTTCACGTCACGGGCAGAAAGGAGTTTGTGGGTTGATCGTCCAACAAGAAGACATGCCCTTCAACGATCGCGGCACTTGTCCGGACATCATCATGAACCCCCACGGTTTCCCCTCCCGAATGACGGTGGGCAAGATGCTCGAACTCTTGAGTGGAAAGGCAGGCGTGCTCCGTGGGACGGTCGAGTATGGTACCGCCTTCGGCGGCAGTAAGGCCGTCGAAATGTCCAAGATCTTGATCGAACATGGATATAGTTATCTCGGTAAAGATTATCTGACGTCCGGTATCACTGGTCAACCCCTAGAACATTATGTCTTCATGGGTCCTATTTATTATCAAAAGTTGAAGGTTAGTAATCTTTCTCCTCGATCATCCACCACAAAATAATGAATAAACTCGGACAAATTTTTCTTCCATTGATTAATTCTTAATTGATTAAAAAAAAAAAAAACAGCACATGGTATTAGACAAAATGCATGCAAGAGCCCGAGGACCTAGGGCGGTCTTAACACGCCAACCGACGGAAGGAAGATCGCGGGATGGAGGATTGAGGTTAGGAGAGATGGAGCGGGATTGTTTGATTGCGCATGGGGCCTCTCAATTATTGCTGGAACGCTTGATGTTGAGTTCGGATTCATTCGAGTTGGACGTGTGTCAAGATTGCGGATTTATGGGCTATAATGGTCCGTCTTCTATCTCTCTCTCTCTCTCTTTCTCTCTCCTCACTTGTCCTTGTTTGATTCCTAACCCTTTTTTCGGCCTGGTTTTATAGGGTGGTGCGTTCGTTGTAAAAACGGGAATTCGGTCACTAAAATCACTATCCCTTATGCCTGTAAATTGTTGTTTCAAGAGTTAATGGCCATGTAAGTCTCCGCTTTCCCTTGTCTCTTTTCCCATTTAATCATGCTTCTCACTCGGACTCACATTCCCAATCTGTCCTCTTTTTTTTGTTGCTACTTCTAACTTGCCTTCTTCTTTCGGTCACATTCACTCCCCTGTTTCAATCGGATCGTCTTTTTCCCTTTTTTTTTCTTGTATAGGAATATCGCTCCTAGATTAGTCCTAGAAGATGCGATCAATTAAAACGAATATTCAAATTTGAATTTAAATTTAAAAAAAACTCATTTTTCGGGGGTTTTTTTTGGTGTCTATATTGTTATGTTTCAGATAAAATATATATATGTAAATATATTTAGAGATATCAATAGATAGAATATGAGTATTCAACGAAGAAAAAAAAAACCCTGATAATTATCTTAAGAAAACCGATGCTGAATCTAGATGATTAAGTGTAAAGGATGACGTACAACACTTACCAAATAATGCAGGGTTGAGAGAAAAAGTTGTAATACACCGTCTTAGGATATCAATCAAAGCAACCTCAAAGGAAATCATAAGTTCCCAGCACCGTTAGCCTGGAGGGTAACTCCAGTGGGCCAAACCATTCACACATAGGAGTTTGACCATTGACCTGGACCGGTATTGTGGTAAAGTTTTTTTTTTTTCATTTGGATTGAATGTTCATTCAAAAAATTCTTGTACTGCACACACACACATATATATATATATAAGAAAAAAATGGATATATAAGTGGACTCTTTCAAGACATCATGATAAGATTAATCAAGAAATGAATCAATCAACAGAGAAATCATATCACAAGATTGGTTTAATCAAGATAAACAGATGCTTTCATTTTTGTATGATTATATTTATTTATGCAAGCTGATGAGCATAGTCTATTATTCTTGTTAGTAAGTCGGTTTGCGAGGGGGGGGGGTCAGAAAAGAAAATAGGGGATTACGAGTGGGTGTTCCTCCTAGTAAACTTGACGTCTCTTGGTTTGATAGGACAGACCAACATAGTCTATCATCACAACCGAGAAACAAGGAAAAAGTGATGAGTGTACCGCAATTTCAAGCCAACCAAGAGAGAGAGAGAGAGAGAGAAGAAAGGAGTGAGTGAAAGAAACCAACAGTATAATCAGGTTTAGGGAACTGATTGGAGACTAGTTCGAGTTCGCAGTTCCTAATGACGGTAGCGCCGAGAGTAGAGAGCTGAAGGTAAGCGAACTGTTCGCCGATACAGCGATGACGGCCTGCGCCGAAGGGGAGGAAGGGCGAGTTGGCGCCGCTGCTGATCATTCCGAAGCCGTAGTCGACCATCTCTTCTTGTGTCTCTCCCCCGCCGGCCTTGAAGGGCGAGGTGAGCTTCAGCCATCGACTGGGCTCGAACTCGTGAGGTGAGCTCCAGATTGCCGGGTCGATCTGCGATGCCCCCGGCGCTGCTAAGACAAAGTTACTCGACGGAATGATGTATGGCGTATCTTCGTTATGGGATGCTAATGTTCGCGGGACAGTGATCGGTGATTTGACCTAATTTGTTTTTTTTTCCAATGGGGCCAGAGTGGGCATCCTTTCTTTGGGTCAGCTGTCGAAAGGGGCTAACGGGGGCGTGGGGTGAAAAAGTTTTATACCTTTCGCATGATTGAATGGATGGGCGGATGAAGTCTGAGGACCTCCTTGATGCAAGCGAGCATCAAGGGACTCTGCACACGTTCGAGGTCTAGAGGGTCGAGTTCTTTATCATCAGTTTGTCCAGGTTTGCCGAACACTTCGATCTGTTCCTGCCTCAATTCGGCAACAATATCTGGGCGAGAGGCGAGGTGGAGGAGGAGCCATGATCCAGTGGCAGCACTGGTATGTTGGCCGGCCATCAGAAGGGCAATCATGATATGAGCGATCTCCTTGTCGGTCAACGGCCGCCCATCCTTGTAGGTTTGGCCCTGCAAGCTGTCGATCATGTCTCCGAGCTGGCCTTCTCGGTTGTCCTCTCGTCTCTTCTGGATTATGTTCATGTAGAAGTTGCGCATCGCCACTTGCGCCCGATCTCGTCGTCGATATGATGGTAAGGGTAGGTTGGGGAATGCGAAATGTAGTGGGGTAAACCCGCCGTCTAAATCGTGGTATAGATTGGCAAATGATTTGTTGAGTCCTTCGCGGACTTCGGGACCTTGAAGGGTGGCTGAGGCTGTGCAGATAGTGATCTCAGATGCCACTTTGAAGCAGTCTTTGACAGCTTGCTGCGTTTTCGGTTCTGCAAAAGCAAGAAAAAAAAAGTGTCAATTGGCTAGCGAGTTTTTCATGTGAAATATGGAGCACCTATTTACTCTCAAATACATGGTCTTCGAGGTAGCTTATCGTCTCATCTGCGATCAATGTTACGTATTTGCGAAAGTTTCGGTC